CGGGAGACGTTGACTCGTTGATCCCGCCAATTGCCCGAGGTGTCTCGTTGACTACCACATCCTGTCCCTTGTTTCCTCGTACTTACGTGGCGGTAAGAGAGACCTCCCCCTGCTCGGTCCATGGCACCCTCGTGCCAATCCAATCCATCTTGCACCTCCATGCCAGCCAACCCCCCATTGAGTAAAGGGAGCGAGGCGGGTGGGCTCCTCCAGCTCAGGGGAAGGCCTTTTTCTGCGCCATATCATTTTCCGCCTCCATGTCTTGCGATGGCACTTCTCTATCGGGCATATTTGACTAACACCATTGGTTTTTCTATTAGAGCTGTCGAGTCGGTCCCCTTGGTCGTCCTTGAACGGCGCCCCTTTTCCCCCGGTCCCTTTTGCGTTTTTCGATTGAATATCCAGTCTACATGCTCCCGGCTTTCTTCCCAGCCACAGTCACTCTTTTCCATTAGTTTTTTCACCACGCTCCTTAATATCTTAATATCTTAATTCCTAGGGTGGCATTCACTCCTTGATACACCCAAGGCTCGCTCTTTTTTTTTCCCAATAGTCTCTCCCACTCAAAGATTCCTGGAGAACTTGCCCGTCACTCTTTTAGACATATAATCATCACACCGACAAAAAATTAATTTTCACATCCCGTTCGCCAACCCACATCCGACATCATGGCCTACGCTCAGCCTGACGAACACTTCTTCATCGAGGATGAACCCCAGTCCAGTACCCGAGCCCGGGAAACCGCCAAGATGCTCGCGCGCAGCCGGCAAGACACCATTGCCTGCGAGCTCTCTCGTCTTGCGGGCGAAGAGTACCTGGGGGATATCATGACGCATATGCGACACATGGAGGCATGTTGACCTCCGAGCCTGGACGAACAAACTCAGACTTGTTCCTCCGTCTTTTTCATCCTTCTTAGCCTGCTAACACTCAAAACAGGAGGAGACTCTTCCCGATGCTAACCTCATCGACATGCAACGTGAGATCCAATGGTTTATGCGACCTTACCTCATCGACTTCCTCATCGAGGCCCACGCCGCCTTCGCCCTGCTGCCCGAGACGCTGTTCCTCACCGTCAACCTGTTGGACCGGTACTGCTCACGGCGCGTAGTATATAAGCAACACTACCAGCTCGTTGGGTGTGCCGCTCTGCTCATCGCGGCCAAGTACGGCGACAAGAAGGACCGTGTGCCTCAGATCCACGAACTCAACAACATGTGCTGCGGCCTGTATGATGCTGGCATGTTCACCCAGATGGAGATGCACGTCCTCAACACCCTGGAATGGACCATTGGCCACCCCACTGTCGACTTCTTCACCCAGCTCATGGTTGCCGAGGAGCAGGACGACAAGGAGGTGGAGCACATGGCTGCCTACCTTTGCGAGATTGCCCTGTACCATCGCGATTTTGTTTCGACCAAGCCCTCGATGATGGCACGCTCCTCATTGGCCCTGGCGAGAGCCATCCTTGGAAGACCCGAGGTCAATGACGGCGACTGGGACCACACCGAGAACCTGACGCTGTTGACTCTCTCTCAACACCTCAACCAGCCCTCGCCCACCCTGGCCCGCAAGTACTCCTCGTCGTCCCTGTCCAAGGTTTCCCAGAAACTGGCCGACTTCATGGCCGAGCAGGCTGCGATGGCCAGGCGCCAAGCCAACCCCCAGTCTCCTCCTGCCGAGCCTCCTTCGAGACACGCCGACATCTACAGCACCCCCCAGAAGGGCCACGGTCACGGCGCTGCTACTGGTTTTGACGGTTACCTGACGCCTCCCATTACTCCCGACAACGCCTACGGAAACACGGCCAAGGTGGACTCGTACCACCAACTGCCGCCCCGATGTCCCGTTACGCCAACCCCCCAGAGCCATTCTTCTTCGTATCCCCAGCACGTGCAGCAGTACGCTGCCTTTGTGAACCAGCATGGAATCCACCAGCAATAGGAGCCTTGGTGGCGCATACGTTTGGCATAGTCGTCGATTAATTCAAGTGCACCGCTTCTTCTTTTCCCTCTTGTCCATATTTGTTCATGGGCGGGAGGGGAATGTTCATGTTTCAAACTTCGAGGTCATGGCTTTGGACTCACATCTCTTCCAAGCAATCACATTCAAACCTGATGGTCACTCTCAGAATGATCTGTCTCATATCTACGTCATGGCATTTAGCGATTGATTTTAATCCCTTTTTTTTCTAGTCTTTTTTTTTTATTCATTTATTTCGCAATCAAATTTTCAGCAAGTCTTCATGGCACCAAAAAAATGGAACGCGGATCATACCCAATTTTCCTCGAATCGTTTTTTATTTCATTTTCAGTTTCTGCGCTCCTGGGCACTGTGCGTGGTTTCCACGGGTATGGTACCATGCTTATCCAGGAGTTGCGGGCCCTCGATCGAAAAGGGGGTTCTATCTTTGTGGTGGATATAGTATTTGAGGGGATAGAGGAGTTGAAGGGGGATTTGGCCAGCCTTGAGATGGGGGGAAAGGAAAGGAACACTAAAGAATGCAAAGTGGCCCCTGAAGAGAAAAAGTCAAGGACACCACGGAGCGGAGGGGGAAAGCAAGAAGCAGCCGAAAGAGTTTTTTATTTATTTTCTCACTCGACTTTCGGATCTAATCTCTACTTGGCATATGGGAGGAAACATGAGCCTTGCTGCTATGCATGCAAGCAAGGCAATTGGTGTATAATTCTTTCAAACAGCAGATGGGAAACGGCGGACGGATTAGCGCTCAGGCGCAGTGATACCCATCGCTCTCTTCCGGAAAGAAGGGATTGGACAGAGTGCTTTGCCGCCTATTTGGTCGATTGAAGGCGGCATTGAAGGTTAGCCTCTCAAATACCCCTCGGCCTGTACATATAAGGTAGTGCGAACAGGCACAAAAAAAAAGAAGTAAAAGTTCTTTGAAAGCAGTGCGTGTGCTTTTTGGTTCTGGACAAGTGGTAGGCGCCTGTTTGGCCCATCTTGTATGTAACGTGGTACAGCTAGTTGTATGGTAATCTTTCTCGCCTGCACTGGCGAGTGATGACGAGAAGTCGGTTTTGCTCCATGCTATGTAAGGTGGTGATGATGATGCCAATTCCAACCCACAAGGGGGGGGTTTACAAGTCAACTACACATGTAAGTCAAAATGGTACCTAGGTATAGGTAGTTCGTATCACAGGTAACGCGGCTCTACTTCCTCTCAACGCATCTCTTCTTTCTTTCTACAGTCTGTCTTAAACTCGGCGAATTTGGGGAGTCTTTGACGCAGCCGGACCGGTTGGTATGCGCCAAGAATGCGCAAGTGGTTTGAACTACTGTAGTTTTGATGAAAGGGCAAACTCGGGGGAATGTTTGATGAGAGTTGTGACTGAGCTAGTCTGTAAGCGGGAGGTGCAAAGTGGTGTTCATTTACAGTTGCATACGAATATACTACAGTGTATGCAGTGAGATGTTTTGCCAGGCTATTGGCCCGGAAGGGAGAGGGTGAGGCAAAGGAAGGGGGATTGTGAGGGTGAGTGTGTGAGTGTGTGAGTTGTTCTTTTGTTTTCTTAATTTTTGGTGGTTGGGAATTATTGCTTTTGTTCTTTTTGCTTTTGGAAGAGAATTGGTGAGGTTGGTGGTGAGTTTTGAAAGGGGGCAAGGGAGAGGGAGGGGAGAGAGGCTGATTGATGGGAAGAGGTTGGTTGGTTAGGACAAAAGGAAGGCGAAAAAAAGAAGCAAAGAAGAGAGAAAGATAAAAAAAAAAAAAAAAAGGTTGGGGGTACATGTGGGGGTTGGTTAGTTGTAAAAAGGAGGGAGAATATTGGAAACAAAAGCAAACAAGAGAGATGCACGGATGGTGTGAGATGAAACGAGACGAGGTTGGTTTTTTTGTGGCAGGTTTGGAAAGGGGATGGTGATGGCTTTCATGTTTGAGTACCTTTGGCGGTAAGTTTTTTTTTTGTTTGCATTTGAGGGGAAACAAGGGAATGGTTGGTTGATGTAAGGGTTGGTTTGGATGTGAGATCTGTGCTTTTTTTTCTTTTCTTTTGCGGGTTGAGGTATGTGATATTAGTTACGGTGGATATGTGGACGCTATTTTTCTTTGTGTGAGGAGTTTTTTTTTTAGTAGGTGGTTGGGAGGGACGTTGCTTTGTGTTCGGTTCCGGCTATGATGTGGATTAGACGGTTGGAGCATGGGGCTAGATGTGCCTGGATGTGCTTTGCTTGTCTGTTGGGTGATCTCTTTCAAGATATCATAAAGGTGTTGAAGGTGTTGCTGCGGTGTAAGTGAGTTACCCTGGAGATATATGACGGATCTTCGTGTCGTTGCCACGTGCGGTGATTTGTATTGCGGCGTGATTCTAATTGGTGGAAATTTGTCTAACGGGTTTTTGAGCCGGAAATGTCATTGTGCAATCGGTGAATAAGCTGCGCTGTGAAATGATGCATTACTTGGTATAAAAGTGCAAGATGTTCAAAGTTGACGGTGGGGCGTCACTGATGGAGAGATGACTGCTGTGTGAATTCGTACCTCTACTTTGGCGAATATACATTTATTCGAGAAGTTGAAAAACTGGGATTTATACGATTTTAGCCACATAGCATTGGCGGAATATCAACATGATTGCATATGCTTTGTTTGGTGAGAATAGCATGACTGGTGGCCTTCCTAGTCGGACGGGAGTAAAGATTGACCCGCGGCCAACACGAGCCATACTGGACGTGACAATGCATCCTGGGCTTTCAGAATACGATTTTTCTGTTGCATCATGTGCTGATATGACAAAGAGCTCAAAATATATTTTGTGACCGAAAATAGATTTCCTAAAGCTCCTTTGTGCTCCCAGAATGTCCGGAATAGGCATACAACGACTGACTTATGGTCCTCGAACATGGTCTTTTAGCCAGGATACCCCAAGTAATGAAGACCAATTCATAATTAATCAATTTTACCTTTTCATTTTAACATTTGCCTTGCCTTGAATGTACAGAAGATAGCTCACAGGCGATACTTGAACAACTCACATTATCTCACAATGTCGACCCTCGCACAATGCACCGAGGTGCAAGAGACGGAGCTTGACTCCTCGGATCCGATGATTCGATTTGAAATATCCACGAGAGCAGAAGATGAAACCGAGGGTACTCTGCAGCTCGAGCTTTTGAGTCGTGTCGAAGACATTCTTAGTGAGTCGGCTGTTTCGTTGGCCTGTATCTGGACGTCAAATCTAACCATTGTTTCGGTGCATAGAGAAGATAACAAACATCCTTTCTCAGGACTTTGACAGATTGCCGTCGCAAGTACAGGAATTGGGCGCTTTGGCAAGGCCTGGTGACTTCTTACAACGGTTGAATCTCATCGTCAAAGATGGTGGTATGGACGACTTTTTACGAAACCATCCTCGCTGTCGTCGACTATTCTCACAACTATTTGGCTGCCGATATTCATACCTCGAGGACCAAGATTCAGGAAACTCTGACATTGGCAATGAAGGCACTGGCCAAACAACACCATCTGAGACTGCAGTAGCTTCAGAGAGAGAAGCTCTTTTGACGGCTTCACCAAATCTGGCATCAAAAGAGGCATTATCCGAGTGCATAGATGCTTTCAACGCTTTTGATCCGCTATACAGTGATTTAATCGGCAGTATAATCGCCGCGTGGCCATTTTCACAGCAGGAGCTCGAAGTTGCGGAGAGAATGTACCAACACATGGACACGATCCTAAGTATGGAGGGCAGAAAGCTCAATCAAGGGGCATCAAACATGACACTGCAACCCAAGGTGCCCTTCGCTGAATGTCTCGCCAACATAGCGGACATCTCAAAAGAATATCAAGAGAACTTTCAGAAGAAGATATTTGGTCAACTTCCTGCCAAATCCGGGATCGAGCTGGAGTTGACTTTTGGGTCACCCAACCCAGAAGAAAACGCAGATGGAGATGGAGATATTGGAGACAGTGTCAGCCTCGAAGGCGAGATCATGGAGGACACGATACAACGACCTGGAATTCCCCCAACGTCCAGCGATTTGCAGCTACAGCCTTACAAGGGATGGTATATTGAGGGGCCCAGGATCAAACTGGTTCAAGCCAAAAACTTTCTTGCCGACGGAGATATCGATCACACGGTGGACTGGCCACACAGATTTGCAGAGCTGACGGAGTACTTTGCTTACCTGCACCCTAATTGGAAAGTCGAAGACTGGATTCACGATCTCAAAGAAGCTGTCGACATGCAGCAAGTTCACTGGATATTCGAAAACTACCTTTACGGAACACCGGAGCTCCTCGTCGACCCTCCAACAGACTTTTGGCCAAAACAGAGCACGAGACTGCCTCCAATTCCAGGCTCCAACATTGCGTTTCGCGCTGTGCAGCGTGGTTTGTCGGGCCCTCGACGGCTCCTTCACGTTGATGTGGCGAGCGTGCATGATGGACAGTATGAGATGCCGGCCGATGTCCTGAGAAGAGACTATCTCGAACCATATCGGAACGACAGCGAAAAGTTCTGGGCGGCTGGACCGTTTGCTGACACCACAGAGCCGGCAAACCTTGCAGTCTGCGAGAATAAAACGTACGAAGATTGTACGAAGGGCGGCATCGTGAAGACGGCACAAGTGCTGTCCAGCAAAGACGACTTTCTTCCTCCGCATCAGAGTCACGGCAGCGCTTTGCAAGTTGAGAGGAAGGCTCTGGAAGCATTTGCGCAGTTTCGCGGCGGCAAGCGAGCAGCGCTGCAGCAGTGTCTCAACATCTTCACCCATGGTGAGAATCGAAAAATGTGCACCTCTTCGCGGGTTCTCATTCTTCCAGACCCTCCCGTCGAGAAGAAGCCGGACATGGGAATCATCTACGCTCACAAGATGCTGAAAAATCCTCCCGAGAAGGAGTCGCGTGATCCATGGGCTTATACCAGAGTCTTTCAGTGGTTCAAAAAGGAAGAGCTGCGCTGGGCACAATGGACGAAAGAGCACGCCATCAAGGAATCATATGGCCATAAGAGATATCTACACAGCGACAAACCCATCATGGAGCTCCCCCGAAACTGGAAGGGCCCTGTGGCACCAGATCTGATGGATCGCGAAATGAGCAGGACGTATAAGTTCCTGCGGCGTTGCCAGAAGATTCTCCAAGGTCTCAAACGAGCGAAGAATCGAGATCCTCGAGACTTCATCAAAGGGCTTTTGGAGGCTGTGAATGCCGGCCTGGCGGCGAAATCAGTAACGAGGGAGATGAATATGAGATTCAGTGAGCATGAATATGAATCAACTGACGGGGTCACTTTCGCTATTGCCAATTTACGGCCAACGGAGGCGGCATGGCTAGAGTACATCTGCCAGCCTTCGCGGAATCGCCCACTGGAGCTGCAGGAAGCTCTCGGAAAGCGAGGAGAGATTATGGTGTCCAGAGTGACGCAGATGATGCAGGACATTAATCCACTCTCGCTATTCAGGGACTCGGGGCCTAAGAAGATGGAGAAGTTCCTGAAGGGGCTGAATATCACATGTGGTGGGGAGGTGAAGAGATATGAGTTTACGGAGAAGGATGTGAAGCAGCTGGCACCAAAGCTGCGCGACTTGAGGATCCTAAAGTGAGTTTCTCTTCTCAATCTTTATGGGTGCAGAGCAGAGACTAACACAGCAATAGGCTTTACAAGAAAGAAGTGACCGGAGAGTGGATGTTTGGGAGGCCAGAGACAGAGTTTCATCCTGAAGACTTGGTTAGGTGGCTTGATTCTGAGCCGCAGACGCCGGACACCTCAGAAGAAGAGCCACTTGCTTGCAGCACCTCGCAGACCAGCCCTCAAAGCGAGAACATGGACCAGATCCAAGACGACACAAGGGCGACCCCGACTGAGGGAACGGGATACACACCGACTGATGATTTCGACGCCCATCCCTGGGGCATGCCTCGAAGAGAAGACGTTCTGTCTCTCCACGAATTCATAGAGAACCCAGTGAGAAACCCCGAATGGTACGAGAAGACGACCAATTTCTTCCTCTGTCTGGGTTACCGCCTCGGAAAGACGCTCAGGCAACTGCAAGCCCAACACGAGGAAAATGAGGAAAAGCTGAGCGACCCTGAGACACAAGAATACAATCGCAATTTTCTTAACACCATCATCTCTTACTGGGAAGAAGACACAAAGAAACGTCCCAACGATGTGGCTACGAATTGTGCTAAAGAAGGCTCCTGGCGCATCACCATGACATACCCCGACGTGGTCAAGATTGCCGACCCGGACGCGTGCAAAGAGCACAGAGAGGCCTGGACACGGGATAGGTGGCCTGAAAGCAAAGAGGCCTACGAACTGGTTCGCAGGAATCTTTTGAGTGAGGCACATGAGAACAAGACGATGTTGTGGCCGCTGCATCTGCCGTACAACAGCTACGCCACGAGATACAAAGTCGTAGATCCAACGATTTGGCGGGAGCGGCTCTCGAAGAAGACGGCAGAGATATTGGACGACAACAATCTCGATATCGAAACCAAAGAATCTCGTGTTCGGGCTCTCAAGGCCCAGCTCCAGAAGGAGGAAGCCGAGGAAGAAAAGAAGCAAGACGCCCTAGCCGCTCAAAAGCAGAATCTAAAGACGATGCGACGCGAGCCCGTCTGGACGTTTGGCCATCCCTCGAGAAAGAAGCTCGTTCATATGTTTTGGGACGTTAATAACTGGCCGGTACACTGGCAGTCTGAGAGCAGACAAAGAGTCATTAGGTCCAGGGGTCCGGCAAGACGAAAGGCTTCAGAGGATGAGGCCGCGGCCGGCATTGGGGAAGGTTTGGCTGCTTTCGCCGAAGAGTTGGAGGAAGCTGCCGAAATACCATTTTGGAAACGGGCGGAGCAGAGGCGCAAGTTTGTGCCTGGGAGAGAAGAGTTTTGGATGGGAGACACGCCGTTGCAACGGAAGGAGTTTGAAGAGAGAATGAAGAAGAGTGAGTTTCATCTAAACCAGGGAGTTGACAAGGGAAGAAGAGAAAAAAACGGCACTGACTTTTAAAACGATGTAGGACTCGCGCCACGGCCAAGAAAGCGCACTTGGGGAGATGTTTTCAAAGAAGCCTTGCTTGGCTCTTCTACCGCTGCCAATGAGCCCGCTGCTGCTTCTGACGAAGGGTTCGGATTGCCGTCTGTGCCACGACACTTGATTCCTCGGAGTCGACCGGCTAAAAGACGACGCATCGTGGGACCGCAACGAGAAGATCGAGGACGTGATATATTCGCCATATCGAGAGGCGAGAAAGAAACTCGTGCAGAGCCTAATATCGTGACGATGGAATCTTGGACTTCGTCCCTGGAAGCGGGTCAGGTTACGTTTTATATTCCTGAGACGAGGATGCAGGGCGAAGGACGCTTGGAAGATGTGATGGAGATGGAGCCCATGGTTGAGTATGTAAAACCGGTTAAGGGACGGTGATTTGCTATTGTTGGTTGAATGTACTATAAATCGGTTTGAGAATATAGAGAATCTAGTTGGCTGTGGTTTGAAAATTCCGGGTTAGAAACTAGAAAGATTGTGAGAAAGATCAGTAAAAAGCAACAAACTTCACACCAATCACCAAAGACACATTTGTTGGGCGCAATATTGAAAGAAAGCAACGCCAGTTGAAAATTTTTATTTTCTCATTCCAGATCATGGCCATTTTATATCCTCATGACGCTCATGTCCGAAAGTCCTAAACCGGCCAAACCATGCAATGAAACACAAGTTGTATCGTGACTCCGCGCACCGTTTCCAGTCCTCACCACTGCACAACCCCCATTCTCTAGTATCGCTTGCCGTCCCTCAGGGTATCGGAGAACTCCTCCAGGGGAGATCGGATCAGCTTCGTCTCCTTCCACAGGTTGGGGGTCAGGAAGCCGTAGGTGTTGGAGACGGCGGAGAAGGTGGCCTTGAGGGTGTTCTCGAGGGTCTTGGTGGAACCGGCGGATGAAGAGTAGGCATCCTCAACACCGGCGAGCTGGAGGAATCGCTTGACAGCGGGGGAGGCGACGATGCCGGTACCACGGGGGGCAGGGATCAGCTGTTTGAGAGTTACATGTCAATGAACCATTCCTACCAAATTTCCTTCAAACACAACCGATGGACTAGGTGAAGCTTACTCGGACAGTGACGGAACCGCACTTGCCGGACTCCTTGCAGGGCAGGGAGTGAGGCAGACCGAGGTTGGAGCCCCAGTATCCTCTTCGGACGGGGATGACGCTCAGCTTGGCGATGATGATGGCGGCACGGATAGCGGTGGCGACTTCCTTGGAGGTCTTGATTCCGAGACCGACGTGGCCCTCGGAGTCACCAATGATGACGATGGCCTTGAATCGGGTGCGCTGACCGGCACGGGTCTGCTTCTGGACGGGCTTGATCTGTAATTCGTGAAAAGAGCAATCTAGTTAGCGCAACTGTCCCGTTTTTGAAGCGCTCTCGCTCAAAATCCCGCTATACGCTTCCATCCCATCCGCTGAGAGGAGCCGAGCAAAGAATTGAAAACCCCTAAAAAGGGGTGCGAAAAGGAGGCAATCCGCACCTTCATGACCTCATCCTTCAGCTTGGGGAGGAACTGGTCGACAATCTGGTACTCCTTGATGGGCAGAGAGTGCAGGTAAATCTCCTCCATGCTGTTGATCTTGCCAGCCTTGACGAGACGGCCCAGCTTGGTGACGGGCTGCCACTCCTTCTCCTCAGACTTGCCGCCACGGCGACCACGGCCACGGCCACGACCACGGCCACCACGATCACCACCACGGGCACCGCCCCGAGAAGCAAAACCACCGCCACGAGCTCCGCCGCGATCAGCCATTGTGAAGTTCTGGAGTTTGTTGTTTGTTGGGCGAGGGACTTGGGGAGTCGGGATAGACGATGCGCAGGATCGGCCCTGATGTTGTATTTGCTCGAGTTGTGGCCCTCGTACTGGGGGAACTTTTTCGCTGGCGGGGTCTAGTACAGCTTGGGAATTTTTACGGGTGTGGTCTGGGTTAGGCGAGCCCTAAACAAAGACCTGTGGGTCGCTGCCTCAATTGTTAGGCGAAAAACATGTGGGTCGGTGTGTGTCCGTCACCGAGACGCTGAATAAGGCTCACCTCGGTGAGTCAGCACCGAGATTGTAGGCCTATATTTTCGCGTCTTCTGGGCCTCGGTGGAAACGAGAAAGAATGAAAGGGCGAAAATGGAGCTTGGCTGATTGGCTTCAACATCACTAGACGCGAGGAGAAGAACAGGGCAAAAATGGATACTTGCTAAATTTGCTGACACAATTTTGTTTTGGCCGCGCAACGTACACTGAGATTCACCAGATAGGTTGGCATGAAAAGCTGAGATGGCTGAGACCACGATATCGCACAAAGCAAAGAACAAACACGAGCTGGAGAGACTCCGTAATTCAATATTCGTACACGGCCCGAGGGGCGTAGTAATCATAAAAAAAGAAAAGGGAGGGTATCGTGGCTCAAATAAATCGACAGCAAGCTGTACCAAAAGTCTCCCTACTCCGACTTGACGATCAAATTCTCCGATGGCTGAACTCGCTGAGCCCATTCCCTGTTTCTCTGTTAGTCGATGGTCATACATGTGTTGAAAGAACACGAGGCTACTTACGTCCAACTACCATCATAAACCCTTCTGGCGTTGGGGTACCCTGCTGCTTCCAGAGCAGTATCGATGGCACAGGCTGTAACGCCGGTTCCGCAGGTTGAGATGATGGGCTTGTTGGGGTCGATCCCCTTCTCCTCAAACAACTGTTTCAGCTTATCCGCGGGGAGGAAAGCCTTTGTTTCGGGATCAAGGAGGGCGCTGAATGGAACGCTGATTGATCCTGGCATGTGACCAGAGGAGAGACCCTCGCGTGGCTCTGGGTCCTTGCCCGTAAACCGGCCACCGGGTCTCGCGTCCAAGATCTGGATACCTTCTGCTCCCTCCTTGTTGGAGTCCAGGACCACTTCTCTGACCTCCTCAAAGCTAGCAACTCTCTCCGATGCAAGCTCCGGGATGGGATACGGGTTGCACTCGACGTTGTATAGCTCTCCGGACTCGGTGGGCAGCCCCTCGGCAACCCACTGCTTGAAGTTGTTCAAGATGTGCACCTTGGGGTGGCCAAACGCCCTGAACGTCCATGCCACGCGAGGAGCACTAAAGATTCCGAGCTCCTTTGTATCGTAGACGACGACAACATCCTCTCGTCGGATACCCAATTCGCTCATAGCGGCTGCGAAGCCTTTGGCATCCGGTAGCATGTGGGGGTATGGGCTGCGCTTGTCGATGGCCTTGTCCAGGTCAAAGAAGCGAGCCTTTGGGATGCGCTGCTCGCGGAAGACCTGGATACCGGTTCTCTCATCGTTGGGAAGAAACCACGCGGCGCACAGGGGAATCACTCGGGGATCGGGACTGATCGGAGACGGAGGGTTCTTCTTCAGGGCCTCGTGAAGCTCCTTGGGAGTGACCAGGTAGGACGAGAGACTGCGTCTGGTCGACATGCTGGTCCGCAGAAAGCGGTTGCCCAGTCTGAAAAGGCCAACCCGAGCAGATTGGCCAGCAACAACTGAGGCCATCGAGGATGATGCGTGCTGCGATTTAGCGCTTTTGGCCGCGTGAGACGATCAGCTGTTGTCGCCTGTGGTCGTCGGTCGATCTGGATGGTTGTGCTTCAGGCTTCAGAGCTGCGCCGATGGTCAAGCTTTCAAACTGCTTTATGCACGCCTCGTCCAGCTAATCTCGATGGCCCGACCTCAAGCGACTGGCAGCGCAGCCATTGAATGGTATTTTGGTGGAGATGAGGTTTGGTTTGGATTGGATCATGGGCCCAGAGAGTTGCGAAAGGTTGATTTTGGCGCTTAGTGGGGGAGGAGCTTGGACCATGCATGACATTTGCGATAAGCTGCCAATGCATGCACGACAACGGCCCCGAATTTCCCCTCCGCTGTCGCCGGCATCATCATGCACTCAAGCGCCAATTTCAAGCCATTGGTGGCGTTTTGTCCGCTATAGTTCGACGATTGTTTATTGATGGCTGCATAGCTTTTTTATATGCTGATCCATCGCTTGACCACCTCGCTGTAGGTACTGAGATACTCATCGACGCGGATCAATAACGCCATGGCTCCTCTGAGTCGGGCGCTGTACGCCCTGCCCATCGTGCTGCCACTGGCTGTCATGGTGCGAGTCCTGGCAACTATGACAGTTGTGCCTGGGCCCTTCATCGACGATGCTCACCTTCGAGGACGATATACCCTTCAGAATGGAACTAACGTTCCCATCTTGAAGGGTTTGTACCGGGTCCCGGGCCTTGACGATGCAATTACTCAAGTTGCAATTACTTTTTGCCAGCTAATCTTCCACGACGACTCAAGAATGTGGTGGCAGTGTGTCGTTTTCCTCACTGACTATGCTGGCCTCACTGCCTTGTGGATGCTCGAGTCTTTAAGAAACGCCAACAGGGGGACTTTCTTCCAGACGTGAGGACGGGCTTGACCCAATGTTCATTCATGCTCTTGCTAACCTGTATGTGCCCTGAACAGATTTGCCGTGCCTCTGTTTCTCGCCCAATTTGTGACTGTGGGAAACGTTGCACCGCTATACTTTTACCTTTTCTACGTCTTCTCTCCGTTGAAAAAGTATTCTACCGCTAGTGCCCGACTGATTGACGGAGCTGGTGTGCTTGCTGTCCTCCCAACGCTGCTCGTGGTGTACTATATTCCTCATCTCATCTCACTCTTTCACCCTGATTTTGAAACTAGACACTTGGCGAATTGGATATGGCAGCTTTATCCGCTATGGGCCTCAATACTCCTTTTTACACTATCAAGTGTGATAAGGCCGTTCCTTGATGACAACGCCGAAGCTGCCCAACGCCGTAATAAGACGGGCATTCGTGTCATCGGAGGAGTCATGATAGCGTTCAGCACCATTTCATACTGGTATATGCTTCTCTTTTCCCCTCTGTCTGTATCGGAGGCGTTGATACCGAAATATTTCGTCGAGCTTCCCAAGGACACGCCAACGTCGCTCCTTAGCATTTTTCAGTATGACTTCATCACTTCTTTTACGTCAATCTTGCTTTGGTTGGCCTACCACATTGGAGATCTGAAGAGTGCTGGAATTTGTCAACTATCTTGGCCTCGAATCTTGCTCTCTTCTATTGTCATTGGCTGCCTTGGTGGCCCGGGAGTGTTGGTTTGGGTTGGATGGCTTACAAGAGAAGAATTAATGGCATCAACTGAACACGCCAAGGCTAACTAGAATGTTATGTATTTAAGTAGCCGAAAGTTTATCACGGCCAATTGAATGAACATGATCCTTTTCAAGACATAATATGTGCCAACTCAATTACTGAGCCTCGAGCTTTATGCGAGTCTGAGCTTAGTCATGAGACTGTTACCCTAGAGCCAACAGGTACATACAAGTCTCTCCCAGGCAACGCAAACTCCATCACGACTTCAACAACACAACAGCCCCTGTGCATCACAACCTATCCATGCTGTGAGAAATTTCTCCCCCTTTATTAAGGGGCATCTACAATCTGCACGATGAAAGTCACCATCAAGGAGTGGAATTCCGTCGCCACATGGCAGTGGGATATTCCCGCGGACGACGTCTGCGGCATCTGCCAGATGCACTTTGACGGGACGTGTCCTACGTGCAAGTATCCCGGCGACGACTGCAGCCTTTGTGAGTTGAATCCCTTTTGATCTCGCGAACTGTAGTTGTTATGAAGCGACGCGCTAACTGCTCTTGATAGTATCTGGAAAATGCGGCCATAGTTTTCACATGGTTGGTGGTTTTTCTGCTGATGCTCTACGAGGATTGGTAGCACTGACGTGAACATAGCACTGCATCATGAAGTGGATTAAGCAGGACGCGGCAAAGGGACAATGCCCCATGTGTCGACAGCGTACGTGTTATCCTTCTTGTTCTGAATGCTGGTGAGAGTATCTGCATCAGAGAGCTAACTGATTGCTTAGCTTTTGAGTGGCAAGATCAAGCTAATGAGACGGATGGACCCAGCGATACTCCTATACCAACGATTGAGGCAGATACAGAGGAATAGACAAGGCTACAAATACAATGACCACGTGTTGGGGCCGCGCATACAACTAATTATACGAATGGTAATTTCATCATTATTTTCTGTCATGCTTTCATGCTCATACATACATAAATACACTGCGTGCTATCCAGGAAGCTTCACGACTGGCCTGGGCGACCTCTTCATTATACTATTCCCGTTATGAGAAAACAGCTGTCCCGTACACTCCTAAGCTTCCGGGACATAGACCCCATCCTTGCAAAGCACCACCACCTTTTTGAAGAATCGCCGCCACTCCAGCGGGTCTCCCTTGATCTTGACAAACCGAATATCTAGCACCTCGAAGCCATCCGCAAGCGGCTGTTTGTCTACGCAGATTTCTCCGTGTAGGCTCTGCCGGCGGCCGTCGATGGCACGAACTTTGAGGGTAACTACCGGGCTGCCATATGGATTCGGCGTAACGGGTGCCAGAGGCACGTTCAGCTGATGCAGTGCGTCACTGAGCATCTGCACAATGTGTGAGGCAGGCACGTGCGAGAAGAAGCGGGTGAGAGATTCGGGAGGACAAATGTCACGGAACCGCTGAGCCTGTTGTGTGAGCGACATGGATGGTCCGGGGACTTGCGAGAATTGCGACATGGACGGCTCATCCGCAAGGGAGTCGAATAGCATACGACGAGCGCTGGAAGTCCCCGTGGGCATGGAAGATGGTTGAGCCCTAGAGCGGAGGACGGGAGCCTCCCAATCCCAATCTTTGTCGGCGATAGGGGTTACTAGAGCTTCCGGCTGCGTGGATGAGAACCGACCGGCGTTGAGTCCAGAGTCAACAGTGGGATCGTGGGATGCTGGGAGGTAGGTGAGCGGAGGTATCTGGTTGAGGTCGATCCGCAGGTTTTCGAGCATCTTAGTCGCCAGGACGATGGGGTCGGAGATCCTTCCATCGGCAGTGAGCAAGGGGTTATGGCGCGTGTACCAAGGATGCTGTCGTATCTGAGCAAAGGTGAAGCGTTTCTGTGGATCAATGGACATCATGCCCCTGAGGAGGGAGAGGGCCTCTGGGGGTATTCTTCCCCAAAGCGGATCTGAGCTCTTCCCTGACGTCTTCACGTACTCTCCAAACTCCCAACTTGTTGACGATGGCTCATCCCATGGCGTGTTGCCGACGAGCAAGACAAATAGGATGACTCCACACGACCATATATCGACGAGGTCTGGTGAATACTTGGCCGTATTCGGAGCCCTCTTATCCACCCTCCCACAAGCGAGAATTTCGGGAGCGATATATGGCGGGCTGCCACAGAGCGTTGAGCTGGTCTTGCGCTGGCCCTTGTACTCAAACATGGTAGCCATTCCGAAATCAGCCAGCTTCAGGCTTCCGTCTTGTGACAGGAGGATGTTCTCTGGCTTAAGGTCCCGGTGTGCCACGCCCTTGGAGTGCATGAAGCTCACACCGCCAACCAGCTGGAGGAAGTAAATTTGTGCAATGTCCTCTCGGACGCCGACATCTGCCTCGATCTTGTCGAAAAGATCACCGCCCTCTGCATACTCCATGGCTATCCATCGCCACACCGAGTCTTCTCCCGAGGCAAACCACTCGATGACGTTGGGATGCTGGCCTATATGGGAGTGAAGGGAGACCTCCATGGCAAGCTGCTTTGCGGAGATGCGGCCATGCTTAGTGGCGTATCCCTTGTGAATGAGCTTGACAGCGAACACTGGATTTGAAGAGTCTAATGGAATGGCTTTTTTTATTCTGATTTAATTTTCAACATTAGTGTTAATATTAATTTTGAAATGTTAATGTGAATGAGAGAGATTTGGGAGGGAGGTGAGGGGTGAAGAGAGCGTGCATACGAAGCATAGGCACCACGGCCAACAGTTTTGGATATGATTCGAAAGGGCAGTTCCTTTGGCAGTGGATCGAGTTGCGACTACAAGGGAGTCAGCCAGATTCACATGAGTCTGAGTGACTGATGGCTCGGATTTCGCAAGGGCGCTGGACCGAAGCTTTTGTGAGACGTGCACGGATGAAGAGTCACTCACCATGATATCTAAGTATTAGTGAAACTTGCTTCGAGGTTGTAGCTCTTTTTTCCGGCCAAACATATACAACAAAAGGGGAAAAATGACAAAAGAAAAATGGAAGAATAAAGGGGATGGATTAAACAAGGCCAATTCAAGCGTTATTCGGTAACAATTGCTGAAACGCTATGTGGCGGTGGTTCTTTTAGATTGTTAATGATCGCGTGTCCCGTCGCGCTCAACCGTGTAAAGAGGTCAGACTTTCATTGTTTCTCCAACTTTATCAAACGATTGGTTATCGGCTCCATCACAGCGGGCGTTGCTGCGGCAAACAGGGCCCACCGACGTTATAGCGGTCGTCGTTCACTGAAGAAGCCCTTGGACGCCTGTAAGATTAGGCTTCTGGCTACCTTAGGCAGTAGGTTGTTTTTTTTTCTTAGGCTGACCGGCAACAAGCGTGTCTTAAACAACAACCTAATGTTTTTTCCCTCTTCTCAGTCGATCTTGACCTTTTCCCATCCATTCTTTGTCTATAGACCCTTCATCCCTGTTCGTGGCCTCGACCCTGCTTGCCGTGTATTATTTCTTTTCATCTTCAGGCAGCCCCCCTCTAACGACGTTTTTAAATCACCACCATCCTCCTACCTTATTGGGTAACAATCTGCACTTCATCCCGCCGTCTTTTTGGGAGTACTTCTCGAGACGTCCCATTATTGCCCAACGCGGAACGCTACCGCTTGTTTGCATATCCTCCCCCTTCTCGACTTTCAACCTTTTTTATCTTGTTCGGTATTCTCTTGCAAGAGACTTTCTGTTCGACTTGTGTACTTGGACCATCTATTATCACTTTCGAATACCACTCACTCGTCCATCTCCGCAAGATACACTGTTTTTTATTTACAATGGATTACACCGAGGATAACCAGAACTCTGCTCCTGGCAGCGTCCAGGCCTCCAAGCTCAGTGCCGCTCGCAAGGGTCCCGATTCGCAGAGCGTCACCAAACGGTATTCACTCTTTGGGGCAATGATGTCAGCCTCATTTAAGTGCTAACATATTCTCAATAGGCTGCAGACCGAGCTGATGACTCTCATGACATCGCCAGCACCCGGTATCTCCGCATTCCCCTCTGCCGACGGCAACCTTATGTCGTGGACCGCCACCATCGAGGGCCCCGACGATACACCTTATTCCGGACTCACGTTCAAGCTGAGCTTCGCATTCCCTCCAAACTATCCTTATGCCGCGCCGACGGTCCTCTTTAAGACGCCCATCTACCACCCCAACGTCGATTTCTCTGGCCGCATCTGCCTTGACATTCTCAAGGACAAGTGGACTGCCGCCTACAACATTCAGACCGTTCTGCTGAGTCTGCAGAGCTTACTCGGCGAGCCCAACAAGTACGTTGATCCGCGGACACGACGCAGAGGAAAGGCGACGCTAACCGATGTTTCTACAGCGCATCTCCATTAAACGGCGAGGCAGCAGAGTTGTGGGATAATGATATGGAAGAGTTCAAGAAGAAGGTCTTGGGACGACATCGCGACATTGAGGAGGAGTAATGGGATTCATAGCGTGCAGATTTTTATGATTTTACGTTTAGGGGGTATTTGGAGTCTTTGGGGCACGATTCGGTCGTTTTGAAAGGGTATTTGGGTGTATTTTGCATTTCCACAGCCAGAGCTGGGAAAGGAGGGCTACCTGCCCCTTCCACAAGCGCATGACCGGTTACAACATATAATAGAACCCGTCGAACAAATCATGACCAATCACCGCCTCACCAGGCAGTCTTCCCTGTCACTCTCCCTTCTGAAGCAGTCAGGGACTCTATGCCGCCGGCCATTATCGCAGGGGCGAGACTTGTCGTGGAAAAAAAGAAAACCTTTGTTGATCACATTGCCGTCTTTTTATTTTCAGCGTGAAAAGCTAGAAGAGCCGGTTGCAACTCCGTAATGCCATGCCACCCCAGAACCATTCCCAAAGAGAAACAAATTTTCTTTACTCCTCAACGACCTCAGTCGCAAGGCCCTTGGGGTTCTTGACGTTGACAGCCTGAACGTAGCTGTACAGCTTCTCCTTGGCACCCTCCTCATCGTTTCGTCGTCGGGAGATTCGGACTCGGATTCTGTAAGCAACACCCTTGACACCCTGCTCCCAGACCTTCTTGTTGAGCTGGGGGTCGACCCGGACGTCAGTGGTACCCTGTTGTGGAATAAGAGTTAGCAAATGTTGTTTTGTTCGGTTCATCGGCGAGGGAAGTTTGCGAGTCCGTTCCACGGCCAGTCAAACTGCGCCTCGTAGGATCTTTGCTGTTGGGGATTGGATTCCGTACCATGGCCTTGGTGGCGAAAGACTTGATCTCCTTGATGGCACGGGGAGCCCTCTTCTTGAAAGAGACACCATGCAGCTTTACACGCAAACTGTTAGCATCCCTGTTTCCAAAACCTCCAACTTTTCTCTTTTCTCCCACAACAATTCGTCCAGATGTTCGATACGACGTACTCTCTTGTGCATGTGGATGGTGTACTCGCGGGCAACCACGTCCGCAATGGCGGAGCGCTGGGTAGGCTTCTTTGACGACATTTCTGAATTGATTGACGGTCAGCTTTCGGGTCGGATGGAAGGCGGGCGTGGCGGCAAGTGTTCGAGATTCCCTTGCGACCAAAGTTTGGCAGAGATTCCGTGGATTGAGAGGGAGAGAGGTTTTGGTGCGCTTCGTACCTGCGGATCGACTCTTCACGGTCTGGACGTTGAGAGAGGTGGTTGAGGTCGGAATTGCGAAATTCCACAAAATCTTTGTGCGTAGGGCAGGCACGAAATTCAACTGGTGGGGGTAGCGAGCCAATCATGCAGTGGGCGGTTTGGCCCCACCGAAATTCACGTGATGCCCCAACGAGCATCTTCGTCTTCTCCTGAGGCATCGATTTTGACGCCAGCTGCGCCCCAAGTGGGAAATGAAACCAGCGCCAGACTAATGAATGGCCCGTTTCTCCATACGCCTCAAGCCTCAAAGCCATTGCAGCCGCATTCCATCCATCACCATTGGCAACGAGCTGCTACAAGCTCCCCTGTGGCAGCCTCTGTTTTTCTCTCGCTTGTTTTGTCCTATCGCATTACCGTCCGTCGCTGCCAATCGCCTCATTTCAGGCTCGCAAAACTCCCCAGGCAGGGAGACTTTTTCCTACCCGCGCTTCTGTTGTTTGTTGCACAAGCATCTCGATCCGCCACGAGAGTCCCGGACAATCGCAGAACAATCTTCGATAACGACCTCAAAATTCCGCTCGCTTTATCATCGCCCATAAACTCCTAGTGCGCCATGGAGGACCCTCGCGACACCACGGCGTCAACAACGCCTCAGCCCGATATGACGCGCAACAGATTGCCGACTCTGTTCGAGGTGCTGAGCCGTCGCACACTGCCACCGGTCGATCTATTCTCATTCTACATCTACATGCGAGACCAGCAGCGATCTGTTGATTATCTAGACTTTTGGTACGAGCTTTTCGGAGGAGAAATCGGATGGCGCAACGGATGAAATACTGACTGGTTGATCAGGTTGGATGTAGCTCAGCACATGTCACTTTGTCGCCATTATGTCCGCGAACTTCGTCGATCAGTCCTCATAGCGACGCCAGACCTGGAAAAGTCTTCTAAGCGATCATCCCAGATTATGGATCTTGGTGAAATGGACAACCGTGCGGCTGGACCGTCGATGTATGCGACGGAGAAGGAGAGAGATCAAGACGCCCAGATGTCGGCCTTTTTACGTGAAGATCTGAGCCATGAGTCACCTCAAACACATAGCGGCTCAAATCGCACAAAACCTAGCCCTCCGTTTAGCCACGCAACGGATTCGAACTCGCCAGCCCATACTGTTGCCCGGCAAGATATCAGAGCCTCTGCCGAGAAAATTCTCTACACGTTCTTGATGCCTGGAGCTGAGAGGGAAATCACACTGCCTGGATCTATCACTCAGGACGTTACAGCCTCTATTGAAGAATATGGTCGTGACGACCCCGAGGTTTTTGATGTGGCTAAGGACTACGTGTTCCAGGCGATGGAACGAGACGCGTTTCCAGGTTTCTTGCGCATGAAGGCCTTGGGCAATCTCATTCCACCAACGCTTGTCATGCGTCTTATTATTGGGCTTGTTGCCATGTTTGGAGCATTTTGGACCTCCTTCATCCTTATTTTCCTTGATAAATCCAGAGCAACTAGATGTTGGGTAAGCTTGTCCTTTATTTCGACTACTGGCTCTTTGTAGCATCGGGCTAACGTTTTCCTCACTTTTAGCTCATTCTCCCATTTACTGTTGGCGTATATTTCCTTGCATCATATCAATATTCCCTTGACCCAATCTTGGCGCTCATCGGATTCAGCGAGTACACTCCCTTCAATTTCTCTCGCATTCGAGAACCCTACGTTCGTCGCCTTTTGGCGAAGCGAGCACTCATGGTGTTGGCCGTGACGACTCTGATTGATGCAGGACTGTGCGTCCTGTTCATTCTTGTCCCAGGCAAGCGACTCTGAATGACATATCAGCTGTCCTTGCCTTTTTTGTCCCGCCGGGAGGTGCTGTGCATCACACTGGCCTGTACGCAACACAACGTCTTGGACAGAAGTTATCTCCGTGTGCGTACCGATTGAGTAAGAGTACTCTAACTCACATCACGACCGTAATGAACAAATGTTTTATAGGATTTAGTTGGGGCGATGGGAATATCTTCCTTTTCAACTTTTAAGACCCGGGAGGAAAGAGACCAAGAAGGATTTCTGGCGCGAGCTTTTAGACATGTTTATTTTCTGCATTTCTGGCAATTTGTATTATCAGCCACTGCTTGGGAGTTGCGGGCTCAACACTTTCTATTCCTTTATAAATAATCAGGGCACAGGATGGCCTGTGGCTGTTTGGTTCGTTTATTATATCATATTCTTTCGTGACTATCAAAATTCATATCCCATTGGAAGTCCAAGCTCCGCTCGTTGTGTCAACTTTATGTCTTTTGCCTTTGTTATAGCTTCCTCTTGCTAGCCCTCTTGGCCGGGTCTTCTGGCCCCAATAAATCATCAAGATCCATCGACTCGGTGGATGCAGTTGCGTTGAAGGGATCAGCTATGGTACGCTTATTGATACCTCTGCGAGTTAGATTGTCCCGTTGGTACGCTGATAGCATATTGCCGTCGCCTTTGTTTGATTCGCCCAGGCTTTCCATCAACCCCTGCAACTTCTTGTCCGATGCTCGCTTTTCTATCTCCCGTGTGATGGCGGCTTCACGAATGTTTTTGATCTGCTCTTCAAGATCCCCAAGAGTAGACTGGCAACGGCCAGCCCAGTTCTGCAGGGCGTTGATCATGTCTGGAATCGTGCCGGGAGCGAGGTCGCGGAGGGGGGCGATGCTCGACACCTGGATGGCTTGGCGAGCGGGATCGAGCGTGGCATGCAAGAGGCCGGCGTAGATGGCGGTGATGACGAGGTCCTCGACCTCTCGGGCCGAGGAGAGGCCTAGAGCTTTCTGCAACGCATCGTATGATAGGCTTGATCGATCGCCGGCGAGGGACAGCAGCGAGAGCTGTCGGAGCTTGAGGATCTGAGTGTCGTTCAATGCGGGTAGGTCAGGCGTGGCATTGTATGTCCCGTAGGAGCCGTAGGAGAAGATTTGGAGCAGCGTCAGGTGTGAGGTGAATTCCGGGCTGGCTGCTAGGGCCTGGATCTGGGGTGTCTGGAGGAGCTCGGCGAAGATGAAGGTGTTTGGGGCGGAGGTTGCGCGGGTGACGAGATCGGCCGCGGCTCGAGGGGAGGTGGCTGACTTTGACAGGGCGAGGAACGGCTGGAAGAGAACGTAAGTTGTTAGTATGGAAGTCATGGAGGTAGCTGGGATTTACTCAAGGGGGGATCGCACCTCCAAAGCATTCAAGGCCTTGGTTTGCTCCATGGCGCCAAGAGGGACGATTTATCTTCTTTGTGCTCTTGTATCGTTGATATGCGATGGGACGGGCTATGGGGTCACGGTTGGCAAGGCTGCGGCAATGCGCAAGGCGTGAGTGGGGTAGGATCTCGATCTGATAGGCGAGGGAGCAGACGATGAGAGACGATGAGTGAAGAGACCAGACGCTATACGAGATGGGCTTCGGAAGGAGGCTGCTGCTTTAGTGCCGAGGATCCGCGGCCTAAGTCCGTTTGCGGGTGGTTGGGTTGCGTGCACCAGGAGAGTTTGAGGCTTGAGGTTGTGGTGTTGAAGACGGTCGAGGTAAAGCCGCGGGGCGCTTGGTTTTGGTGGGGTGAAACGCGGGAGAGAGTGCTGAAGAGAGATGCATTTTGGCTTGTGTTAGGGGGCACTTTGGAGGCCGGAAATTGGCTGGTGGCAAAGATGAATTGTTTAACTTGAAATGATGCTATCAATATGTTTATTCTGTTTAACGCAGCTGTTGCAACACGGGCTTCTCTGCCAAATTCTTCAAGTTCAAGGTTATCAATCACCACCACGGTGCCTTCAATAGCACTAAAAGCAGCTATACTGACAGCATCCATACCAAGCTGCTTTCAGCTGAGCTAGGAGCCACAAGCGCTGCACTTCGTCTCCGTACTCCGCAGAGCTTGATCAATCGGTTGAGCCCCTTCAGCCCTTTGCCAGCTTCACTCGTATCTAAGATGATCACAAAAGTGGGCTAATCAGTTATCCGAACTGGATCGGATATACAGACGATGAAGGGCCGGATGTAGATTGAGCGACCAGCATCATGACAAGTTCTGAAGTACCGAAGAACGTCCGCTCCCAGTGCGACGCTGAGGCCGAAACCAGAAGGAGCAGGCCCAGGTGCATTAGAGGCTATCCGAAAGAGAAAAGTCGGGGAGGAGAAGCAGCTTGGCGGTGATCAAGAATGATTTGGTCTGATGGGAGGCTTACTCTGGGTCACATACGTGTATATCGTATTGCAGTAGTCTCGAAGAAACCTGGTACTTTGTAAGTGGTTGGGCATCGATGGATATCGCACGCAAGCGAACACTCATGACATGTCGATAAGTGTCGGTGTACATACTTGTAGGCGCTCGGAGACCTCACTGTAGGTATGTCTTGAATTGACGATGCTCTATCAGACACAGTGATGTGAATGTTTGATGTTCTGCCCAAAAACGCTCCAATCAGCCGCTGCAAACGAAATGATGCTGGTCCTTCATCAGCACCGGTTTTGACAGGCCGGGGTGTTTCGTCTGTGCTGGGCACCATTGGATGAATTATTCAGCGCGATTCATTTCCAGGCCGCTGAAACACAGGCTCAGGCTCGCGATGGGCGCCATCAAACATAGTGCGACAAGTGCAGAGGCGCCAACAGCATCCCCTTCCATGATCCCTCTTATTTGACAAGTAATCCTTTGGTAGGTACCTATAACTACTAAACTGGGTGCATCGACCGGGTTTGTTCTCGAACGCAAATATTCTTGTTCATTTTTCCTTTTCCGTTTCTTTTTTTCCCCCGCCTAGTCCTTTCTTTGTCCTTTGCATCGCTTTCTTTTCTTCCCCCCCTTGTCCTTGCGTCTGTCCGTTTTCATTCATTGCATCCCGATCGCTGGTTGGTCGGATCAAATCCATTTCAAAGTCATCCGCACTCGCTGCTAGTCTCGAGCCTTGTCGGCCTGTGCAGCTGCCGGACCTGAGCCACTGCTTATTGATTTCTTATTTTATCCCCCTTCTGTACCGCGCTACTTTGGATTCTGCAACGAGCGACCAACCGCGAGAGACTCGCCCACCCATCTTGAGAGACCCTTGGCTTACGCCGTGGCGCTCCTTCTGTCTCTTTCTCTTCTGGGCCTGTCGCACAATTTACAATACTCGGCCGTCCTTCTTTCTCTCCACCCTTGTTCTTACATCGTACGTTTTCTACGGCTAGGAATCAGACAAAAAAACTACGAAATCCTGTTTCTGGTGGAGAGCTGTGACGATAGCGCGGCTTGCTCGGCCAGACGACTTGATTCTGCTGACAAAATCCGGCTCGGCCGAATTATTAAATCCTCACAACCGCCGTGTTGCTTCATTTCCTCCGGGGCCGGTCTCTGGGACAATTACGGCAACTTCTGTCCTCTCTGAGCATCCTTGGCGGCGCCCAATCAATCCATCGTCTCTTCTTCTTGTCCTGTGCAATGCTCGCAGCTGGAAGGTGAAGGATATCTGGAGTTAGCCGCGACCTGACGTCTCCCGCGCCGGTCGCTTCTGTTTTTCTTTTCTTTTCTTTTTCTTATCTGCGAGGGAAATCAGCGGTCTCGACTGCTTAACGACAACGAACCATGGCTCCAAGCTACATCAAGGTCCCCGGGCGGGATAATGATGATACGGGCCTTACGCCCAGGAGCGCACACATGGCGACGACTACTTTGCGCGTTGGTGGAATGACGTAGGTTGCTCTGTTCTGTTTCTAGCTGGACGAATCCTCTTGCCCAAGCATCGCTGACTTGTTTACGTTCTCACAGGTGCGGATCATGCACGTCAGCTGTTGAAGGCGGCTTCAAAGGCGTCAAGGGCGTCGGCACCGTCTCCGTCAGTCTCGTCATGGAGCGCGCCGTCGTCATGCATGATCCCCAGCTTATCAGCGCTGAGCAGGTCCGAGAGACCATTGAGGATACTGGATTCGACGCCGAGGTGCTGTCCACAGACCTGCTCAGTCCGCTTGTCCCTCGATTCTCGGATGTCAAGGGAGATGAGGATCTGGATAGCGGGTTGCTAACGACAACAGTCGCCATTGAGGGCATGACGTGCGGTGCCTGTACTTCTGCCGTCGAGGGCGGCTTCAAAGACCTCCCAGGAGTCAAAAGCTTTAGCATATCTCTTCTTTCTGAGCGAGCCGTCATCGAACACGACCCAGAGCTTCTGCCAACCGAGAAGATCGCCGAAATCATCGAAGACCGCGGCTTTGGCGCCGAAATAGTTGATTCCGCGAAGGCGCAACCCGACAGCAGTACCAAGGCCGAGAACCCATCCAATTCCATCGCTACTACAACTGTAGCTATCGAGGGAATGACATGTGGCGCTTGTACTTCTGCTGTCGAGGGAGGCTTTCAAGGAGTCGAGGGCGTGTTGAAATTCAACATCAGTCTTCTGGCCGAGCGTGCAGTCATCTCTCACGATGTCACAAAGCTCTCCCCAGAGCAAATCTCCGAAATCATCGAGGATCGCGGTTTTGATGCCACGGTTTTGTCCACCGTATACGATACTAACGACCTAGGCAATGCAATTACCACTTCTCAGTTCAAGATTTTCGGTAGCCCTGATGCTGTCGCTGCAAAGGCACTCGAGGATTCGCTGACAGCTCTTCCTGGTATCAAATCTGCTTCTCTTAGCCTGGCTACGGAGCGCCTTTCCGTCACGCACCAACCTGCCGCCATTGGGCTTCGAGGAATTGTCGAAGCAGTGGAAGCGCAAGGTCTCAATGCCTTGGTTGCGGACAGCCACGACAACAACGCCCAGCTCGAGTCACTGGCCAAAACTCGAGAGATTACCGAATGGAGGACAGCATTCAAGGTTTCCGTTGCGTTTGCTCTTCCGGTATTTTTCCTCAACATGATAATACCTATGGCTCTACCAAGCATAGACATCAACAATATCCAGCTGTGTACTGGACTCTATCTCGGCGATGTGGTTTGCCTGCTCCTCACGATACCCGTTCAGTTTGGCGTCGGGAAGCGATTCTATGTTTCGGCCTACAAATCACTCAAGCATCGTTCGCCGACGATGGATGTCCTCGTCATGCTCGGTACATCGTGTGCTTTCTTCTTCAGCATTTTCGCCATGATAATTTCTTTAGTCTTGCCCCCGTACTCTAAGCCCGGTACGATTTTCGATACTAGCACTATGCTCATCACCTTTGTGACTCTTGGCCGCTACCTCGAGAACCGCGCCAAGGGCCAAACGTCAAAGGCTCTGTCTCGTCTCATGTCTCTGGCCCCGTCGATGGCAACCATCTACGCGGACCCCATTGCCGCAGAGAAGGCAGCCGAATCATGGGCCAAGTCAACCGAGGAATCCACCGACACCACGGCCCAACGTTCTGGAAATGCGAATGGCTCAGCACATGAAGAGAGGAACATCCCAACGGAGTTGCTCCAGGTCGGCGACATTGTCGTCATTCGACCAGGTGACAAGATCCCAGCAGACGGTATCCTTGCCCGGGGAGAAACCTATGTCGACGAAAGCATGGTAACCGGAGAGGCTATGCCCGTGCAGAAGCGTATCGGAGACAACGTGATCGGAGGTACCGTCAATGGCAACGGCAGAGTGGATTTCCGTGTCACGCGAGCCGGTCGTGATACCCAGCTCAGCCAGATTGTGAAGCTTGTCCAAGACGCCCAGACTACAAGAGCGCCCATTCAAAAGGTAGCCGACACTCTGGCAGGCTACTTCGTGCCTACGATTCTTCTCCTCGGTCTCCTCACATTCATCGGATGGTTGATCCTCAGCCACTGGATGGACCACCCTCCCATGATTTTCCTGGCCGGTAACAGCGGTGGCAAGCTCATGGTGTGCGTCAAGTTGTGCATCTCTGTGATTGTCTTTGCATGTCCTTGTGCTCTTGGTCTCGCCACGCCGACTGCCGTTATGGTAGGCACCGGCGTGGGAGCGGAGAATGGCATCCTCATCAAGGGCGGAGCTGCGCTGCAGCAAACGACCAAGATCACTCAAGTCGTATTGGACAAGACTGGCACAATCACCCGCGGCAAAATGAGCGTTGCCAAGATGGATTTGGTCTCCCAATGGAATAGCGAATCGCAAAAGAAGATCTGGTGGGCCGCCGTTGGTCTTGCGGAGATGGGCAGCGAGCATCCTATTGGCAAGGCCATCTTGGTAGCAGCAAAAGAGGAACTCTCAATCTATGAGCTTGAGAGTGCCATTCCAGGAAGCGTCAACGATTTCAAGCTTACTGTCGGAAAGGGTATCAACGCCCTTGTCGAGCCTGCTACTTCAGACAGAACTCGCTACAGGGTCCTGGCCGGAAACGTGAGCTTCCTTGAAGATAACGGTGTCGAGGTCCCTAAGAGCGCCATCGAAGCCGCAGAGCAAATCAACTCGTCTGAAAAGAACACACGAGCCAAGTCTGTTACTGCCGGCACCACCAACATCTTCGTTGCCATTGATGGCAAGTACAGCGGTCACCTTTGCCTTTCGGACACAATCAAGGACGGAGCTCTTGGAGCCATCTCGGTGCTGCACCGCATGGGCATCAAGACAGCCATGGTTACCGGAGATCAACGACCTACCGCCCTGGCCGTGGCCGCCCTTGTTGGAATTGCTCCCGAGAACGTCTTCGCCGGTGTCAGCCCCGACCAGAAGCAGACCATTATTCAGGGACTTCAGGAGGAGGGCGAAGTCGTGGCCATGGTGGGTGACGGTATCAACGACTCTCCCGCCCTCGCCATCGCAGACGTCGGCATTGCCATGTCAAGCGGAACGGATGTCGCCATGGAGGCCGCAGACGTTGTGCTCATGCGTCCCGACGACCTGCTCAGCATCCCATCCGCCATCAACCTGACCCGAACAATCTTCTTCCGTATCAAGCTGAACTTGTTGTGGGCGTGCATCTACAACCTCATTGGACTGCCCATTGCAATGGGCTTCTTTCTGCCGCTGGGCCTGCACATGCACCCTATGATGGCCGGATTTGCCATGGCCTGCAGCAGCATTAGTGTAGTGATTAGCAGTCTCATGCTCAAATTCTGGAAGCGACCGCAGTGGATGGACGACGCCTCCGCCGAATACAAGGGCGGCCTGCGCTGGATGAGCGGCACCGGCATCGTCGGCTGGGCCAAGGAGACGTTTGGAAGACTTCGTAGCAAGAACCGCGAAGAGGGTTACGTGGCGTTGGAGAATCTAGAGGAGGTTTAAGCGTACTGTTGATGTGCGTTTTCGTAAAGTGGAGGAATTTGATTGTATATCGGCTGGTGATTTGGCCGGACCAAGGGAGCATAGCACGGGTGTTAGATGATTATGTATGGCGTTTAGGAACAGATATCAATGAGATTTTCCTTCCCTTTGTCACGATACTTGTCTTGTCCCCTGTTTGAAGATTGCTTTAGGAGTGTCGAGCATGTTGTTCCTCCTGCAAGTAAACGCTTTTGATGAAAATGGGTATTGAAATGCGACGCCGCACACATTCTATCTCTTCTGCTCCATTGCCCAGTCTCGATGTTGCATACTTCCACCGAACCGTATCCCACAATGTACAATCCTTCTTGAATACAAGAATGCAAATCCAATACCTGCCCAAACGCCATACACCAGAAAACATGTCGAGCCGTTTATAGAAAGAATCCCCTTGCCAAACTCCATGCGAAAGACGCCAAACCATACCTTGTATCTATATTCCCTCCCCTATTCAAACTTTGGCCATCCTTAGAGACTGCCTAGATGTAGCCCAGACCTTTTCTCTTCCCCTTGGAATAGCACCTTGTTATGAGGCTGACAAAGATCTCGCCAAGGAACAAACTCGCCATTCAAGTCCGTCCATGCCCCGCCGAATTCATCATTCAAATCAGCAGAGACGGGATAATAATTCTTGGGAAGCCATTTCCGCCCGTCAATGAGTTTCTGCGTCAGAGGCCCGCCGGCTTGGGAAGCCTTCACTGCGGCCCTGAGTAGGGATTTGACAAAGGGGTAGAACCATAGAGTGGGATACTCAAGCTCGACGAACTCTTTGGGTCCCGTACAATGCCACAGGCCATAGATATGATTTGTGACGAAGTTGACGCCCAGCTGAACAATGCTAAGCCAGTCCTCCGACATAGATCCAGGATGAGCCTCTGTGATGGCGTCGTACAACTTGCTCAGCGAGGCAGCGACGTTCTCAGGCATTTTTACCGCAGAAGGCTCAATTGTAGATCTCTCTTGGAGGATGTCAGCGGTAAGTCTGGCTGTCAAGTCGGATTCGTTGAACTGTAGATATCCAAAATAAGGCTCGTATCCGGCCTTGGTTTGAAACAGGGCGGACTCGTACTCGATGGCGACGTGATACTCGGTCTTCTGAAAAAGACTCTTTTTAACCGGAATGATCCTGTCTGGTGGACCTGCTGGAACTTTGCCCTCCATCATCCTCGAACGCCAGTATTCCTGCCTGCCCCAGACGTTAGAGAGATAGTACTGATCCGACTCTCTAAACTCGTACGCAGGATCATGAGTCGCCGTGATTTCGTCCATGGTGGCAGTGATATATTTCCTTAGATCACCAATCGGCCCCATGATGGTTCCCGAGTTGAGCCATCGAGGATCGGAATAGATTATTTCCCAACCCCCCTTGTTCGGCCCCCAGGCGGATGGCGGAATGGGTGATTCAGGGGCAGCCCAACAACGGGGCGCCAGAGGGTCGATGGGCCAGCAGATTTTGTCGGGCCCCAGGAAGATGGTCTGGCGAAGACCGCGCTTGTGAAGCTCGCGGACGCTGACGCCGAAACGGTTTGCTAAACGAGCATCGGCACGCTCGGCAATCTGAAAGTATCGCTCGACCATGATCTCTGGCGGTAATTGGATGAGAATGTCGTAGCCATCGACTATGATTGCCAAGTCATCATCCTCTGCAGGTGAAAGCGAGTTAAAATATCGTTCCATGGCCCGCAACTTTGCTAGATGAGTATTTGCCGCGTCGAATTCGTCAACTCCATGCCATCCAAGAAGTGTAGGAACTGGGTAGCGGTTGACCGCCGAGGAAACAAGATTGTAGCAGAAATGCAGGTTGGGTTGGCTGGCTGGAATGAGATAGTGCAGCCTCGAGGTCTTTGGGTTTGAGGAAGAGGCTGAGTCCTGAGGCTGGGAGGAGTGCGAAGATGACGATATCAGGGAAGTTGATATCGTAGAGTTTGACAATCTAGAGCTGTATGGTATCATAGCAATGAGTCCTTCCTGATGGTGGTTGACGTCAGCTCCAGGCGATCACACAAGAACCGTAACAGGACGATACGAAACGACATACATGATCGGTGTACGAATGGTAGCAAAAGGTTATGGCGAGGAATAAAGTAATCAATGCGACAACGAATAAGTTCGGCCGCCTGCGAGACGTAACAATCATGCTAGATGGTAGCAATATCGACCACCAAGCGGCCGCGCGACAGGAAGATTGAATCGGATTAAGAAAATGTTTAGGAGGAGAAAAGGAGAGGAGATAGGAATTGTTTCAGGACAGATAATAAAAATGCTAAAGGATTCGAACGTAGTGCAAAGCACATGTATAACAAGAAGACAAAAGGAGCGGCAGGACCAAAGCACAAGGAGGCCTGTGAGACAGAGATAAACGGGAAGGTCACAGACACATTGACATTTAGATCTTCGAGAAGAAGGGAGAAAAAAAAGAAGAAAAAGTTAGTAAAAGACATGAGGTGATGGCGTCAGCCTTGAAAAGATGGACTTTGATGGAGTCTCATATTCGGCGAGTGCGACTTTGAGACGGTAAGATGATCGTCGCTTAGTCGATCTTTTTCTTTTTTTATAGAACCCATATTAGAGGGTATCAAGAATGTCCCCAAGACAAGCATGTTTCTATGTATATATACTGTGTACATGCAACTTGCGAGGGAACGCGCTCATGATATAAGTTCCTATCGATCCACTTGTGGGAGTTTTTGCAGTTTCAACGTTGTGAGGCCCAGTCTGGATCTTCATGTGGGTTTTCCTTTTTGAAGGATGCCCGGGACGCTAATACAAGGGTAGTGCACTTTTATCTCATTTTCATGATTCAGGGCCCCTAGAGAGATGATTTTCGGGGATTTCGGTAATAAATCTTTTGGAACATGGGCTTTTTTTGGGTGAGTTTTGGTGTTTTGGGGAAATTGGGTGGTGTTATAATTTACAAAGACGCTTGTAGACGAAGCTGCGGAGGTGAGTGTGTGTTGGATGAGGGTGGAACTAAGCCATGGGAAGACGAGATTGGTTATTTTATATTTAAAGATGTGGAAAAAGACGAAATATGATTCTGCTTGACTATAACAGGCAACCATGGCGAATGAAATGTAGTTTTTATGTTGTTGTTGCTGATGGTGTTATAGTTATAGCTACGGTGAAGTGACTCATTCGCCGCCATTTGATCCTTCTAAACAGGCGCTTCCAGCGTTATACCGAGTTGGTCTAAAGTGGCAGATCTTAGCCTCCGTCTTTTATATGTTGCAACACAGCACTCTTTACCTTTCAACAGGGCGTGACTTTTTCACATCCCAGTACACTTTTAATCAAGGCTGAGGGTCAATTGATAAATTCATATTGTCATCTCTGAGCACTTGCACGGGTCAATACAAACTCGTCTGCAATTCTCGTGGCTTATCAAGATCAAGACTCAGCATGCCTCTCTCAATCGAGGCCATCATCAAAGAGTATCCCTACGGACCAGAAGGGGTACAAAGAGTCTCCCGCCGCCGCGTCAAAAACGAAATCGAAATCACCGAACCAGATCCGTCCTGGCCCGAGTCTTTCCAGCTCCTCAAAGACCGCATCATCTCCGCCCTAGGTTCAACAGCCGTCTCAGTTGAGCACGTCGGCTCGACCAGCGTGCCCGGCCTGCCCGCCAAGCCGGTCATCGACATGGACCTCATAGTCGTAGACGTGCTCGACGAGGCCTCGTACGTGCCGCAGCTCGAAGCGGTAGGCTTCCACTTCCTCTTGCGCGAGCCGGCGTGGCATCAACATCGCTTCTTCTGCAACTATGAGCCTTCGGCGAACCTGCACGTCTATGGGCCAGACTGTCCCGAGGCCGAGAAGCACAAGATCTTTCGAAACTGGCTGTCGAAAACCCCGGCTGACAGGGAGATGTATGCTGCGATGAAGAGGGAGGCAGCGGAGGCATCTCGTACAGCTGGCGAGACAATGCACGAATACACTGAGCGGAAGAACGACTGTATCCGAGAGATTCTGGGCAGAGCGTTTCGAGACCTGGGTTATATTCAGTAATGGCACTTGATGTCCTGAAGAAGGCGCTGGGCGGACTGATATCTGAGGCAGAAAAAGAAGGTGAGTATTTATGACGTTTCGACAGAATCACATGTGAAAGAAAACGAATGGTATATGAGTTTGTATTCTTGGTATTTTGTAGAGTGGAAGCTACCTAGGTAGGATATCAGCACTCAAGCAGGGGAAACGATGGCAGTACAGGCGGCTTGATACTGGTGCGGGCGAGACATTTAGAAAGCATTGTTCGATGCTGCCTAGATAATTGATTCTGTCTCTTGTCTGTGTTGTTAGGATGCCAAGTCTCAGCCGTGGAAAGAATGGGTTTCTCCGTATAGAAGCAACCATATTCTGGTGTTTGATTCGACTGCCTGTCATTTATAGCATGAGTACAGCAACAGTTGAGCAGACAACATGGAATCACACGCACTCGACTTCATCAGCAACCACCTCGTTCCATTGCTTGTAACTGCACATGTACGAGCGCCGAAACCCGATGCCCATGCCGTTGCCGTTGCAGAGATTCAAGCATACGGAGTAGACTACATGTACGGAGTAATACAAGCGTGGCCCCTGTGTAGCAGCAATCAGCCGTCAAAACGTTATAATGTCGGGTGCTATATTCTGTCATGATTACTGTCAATTGTATGTGCAAATCTTCACCCCAAGCTCATTTATTTACAAGGGCATTAACATTTTGACATTGACTTCACGAGACTCGTGCCCTCAAACTTAGTACCTAGACTAACAGACGCCAATCACCGCAAAAGGGTTCGGGAGATGGTCCAATCCGGCAGGTTGACGTTTTGCAGATCTGGCGATCCCTCCTGCATGCTCCATTACGAGTACATGGTATATTAAAGCAATTCTTTTTGCATCTCTTTCTCGCCCGTCTAACCTGTAAATTCGAGCGTTGAAATGTTGGAATATCTGTCTGTCTGCCTGCCTGCCGGAGGATGGCTGTGTCTACGGCCCGCGACGGCGGCTGTTTCGGAGATTATTGTGCCGAAGAGGCAAATGTACATGTACGCGCATCTCTCAGTTGACTAACGTGTTTGTAGCACCTTTGAGTTGAAATTTGGCTTTTAAGCTTTTGCCTCTTAGGACGTCACTTCGGTAGGCTGTCTGAATTGCTTCGATTGAGTCTACGTATACATCATGACGTATGTGTGCCGGAACGAGTTGAGGGCATCGTCAGAAGAATTACCACCGTGCGCAACCCTGGAAAATACACGGAGTCTAGCACGCATTGCAGTTACAAAAGGACAGGGGTTTGTGCCTTGTCGAAATCTTACAGGTACGACTGCGCCCCGATGATCTGGTGGCTTTGCGCTGGACCTTGCTCTGTCTGTGTGTCTTGTCTTGTTGGTGTCCTCCAACGGCTACTGTACTTGTGTACCTATCACGGAGGAGGGTTTGCACATACGAGTACTTTGATGCTAGCTAGCTTCGAGTGCCGCAGATGAATCGGGGATAAACTTCATGTTGCCCGGGCCTCGACATGAAATACTCGGTTGACGATCCGTCCGAGACCTCGTTGCCCGCTAACAGAGGCTACCTTGTACAGCAACACAGCACGTATAGACAGAATATTATATACGAAGAGGTATTACATATCAATGCTGCTCTCTCGTATTACCGTTAGCACCTAGGATTAATCATCGTTTTATATTCGGCCTCCTCGTACATATTCAGCAACCTCCGAAGGATCCAGTCGGAACCGGCATCAGAAAACCACATCCAGGCTCCGGTCTCTCCCAGCATCCATCACCCGGCAGCCCAGAAAAACTTCCCGCAAGTCCCCCATCCATCCGTCGAGATCTTCTAGCCAGGCCCTTTGCCAAGACACCAGCGCTGACCTCAAATGTTCCAAGGCCGGCCCCCTGTCATTTCCCAGCCCTCAGCTCCCTCTGCCGCGGCTCGCCATTCGCTGCTGGCCACTGTATGGCGACAGTCCCGAAATCAATCATCTGCCAAGCTGCCGGTGATTGGCTGGAAATCCCCATCGTCGCCAATCAACGCCGCCAAGGTTGGCCCCCCCTGAACATGTCTTTTGAAATGCCCTGCAATCGACGGATTCTGCGATGGATTAGTGGTGGAATTGGACTGTTGCAGTGCAGTGCAGTGTACGAGTACAAGTACGGAAAGTCTCACTTTCTCCTGCAGTGCAACTTCACCCACATGTGGGCTCCAGCACTCGCACAGTGCGGCTGCCCTCGCCCGCACGCACAGACGCAAGCAGCCACAGCGCCCCCAGCAGCTCCGTCCAGGCGTCTCTAGCGCTCCTCAAGCCCGCTAGCTGGCCCCAGCCGACCCAGTGCTAACTTGGAACTCCTCGCTCCTATTTCCCAGGCGTTCCGCGCAGCGACTAACTGAACCTTCAATCTCACAGTCCACGCCACTTTTCCTCCTCCGTCCTTGTACGCAAGCCGTCCTGCTCCTCCTCCTCCACCACCTCCCATCTTCTCAGCAGAGACAGCAAAACAAAAACAAAAAAAGACGTCCGTCGAGGAGCTTGTCCACTCCGTCTTTTGCGTCTCTAGGTTGTCGCTCGCTCTTGTACCCCGCCTACGCCTTTTTTTTTGTGTCCTGTCTTGGAGGTTTCAAAGGCGTCGTCCCCCAGCCGGCTCGCCTCGCTTTCTCGCTTTCTTACATCCTTGAGCCCTACGAATTGCACCGTATACGAGCACTCCGCACGCGACTCCTTCGTATTCATCTCTTGCTCTCCCGCTCCGTCAGCCTTTCCAGACCCGGCCGGCTATCCACTACCGACTTCTCCCCCGTTTCAGCCTGTCCGAATTATGCTGGCAGTGCTACTTTAAGCTGCTTGAGCGCAATACGTAATCCTCAAAACTTCAACCTCGCACGCCCGGTTGCAACGACAACAACTCGCCCGTCATGTCTAGGCGCTCCCAAGACGTCGCTCTCCTGTCTCCCGACGAGCAGGATCTCAAGCACGATCTCGAGTCCGGAAAGATCCAGAGTGAATCCAAGGACCAGAACATTGACCATGAATACTCAATACCCAGCGCCGTCAAGTTCACCTGGCTTGGAACCTACTTTTTCTTCTCTCTCATCCTGACGCTCTACAACAAACTCGTCCTCGGCGTGGTATGTCCATGGCTCTCGCCTTGATCACCTCAATCTACGTTTGCCCTCTGTTGGCTGCTGATACTAATTTCGCAAATCTAGTTTCACTTCCCATGGCTGTTGACCTTCCTCCACACCTTGTTCGCCAGTCTTGGAACATATGCCATGCTGCAGATGGGCTACTTCAAGCTATCACGCCTCGGTCGTCGCGAGAACCTTGCCCTCGTCGCATTCAGCGCCCTCTTCACCGCCAACATTGCCGTCTCGAACCTTTCCCTCGCCATGGTCTCGGTTCCCTTCTACCAGACGATGCGCATGCTTTGCCCCATCTTCACCATCATCATCTTCCGCGTGTGGTACGGCCGAACATATAGCACAATGACATACATGTCTCTCATTCCTTTAATCATTGGTGCCGCCATGACCACCGCCGGTGAAATGAGCTTCTCTGATGCCGGCTTCCTCCTAACCATTTTGGGCGTCGTCCTCGCCGCTCTCAAGGTACGTTTCGAGCACTGTCTCAAGTTTCACAGGAATGGAAAAGGGCTAACCACGTGTACCAGACGGTCGTCACCAACCGGTTCATGACCGGTTCACTGGCCCTCCCGCCCGTCGAGTTCCTTATGCGCATGTCTCCCCTTGCTGCGCTCCAGGCTCTGGCCTGCGCCACGGCCACCGGCGAGGTAGCTGGCTTCCGCGAGCTTATCAAGACCACCGATATTTCCGTGGTCCCTGCAACTGCTTCTCTGGCCGGCAACGGTTTCCTGGCACTGCTTCTCAACATTTCGTCCTTCAACACCAACAAGTTGGCCGGTGCTCTGACCATGACAGTTTGCGGCAACCTCAAGCAGTGTTTGACTGTCATGCTCGGCATTTTCCTGTTCAACGTCACTGTTGATTTCCTCAACGGGGCGGGCATGGCCGTCACCATGATGGGCGCCGCCATCTACAGCAAGGCCGAGTTGGACAACAAAAACCGGAAGAAGCAGCAGGAGGCGGTCTTCAAGCCCACCGAGCAGAGGTAGCGGCCATTTGGCTACTTCAACGCTTTTAACATTTTGACATAACCTTTTTTTTATTGACGATATACTACGAAGATGGATATTTGAGAAACGCGCTTCAAGTAATTGGTGGGGTCAAGAAATCAGTCCCCGCTCATAACCTTGCCGCGAGACGGAGATGCTTCTGACGCCTGAATAGGCGCCATGTTTTAATATACACATTTGTCTATTCGCTGTCGATCGCCGGCAGCTACAGGAAGATATATCAGTGGACTGCGAAAGTTATCACCATCAGACGGGACATGGCGTTATGGAGATGTGAAACTGGCAACGCAACAAAGAACTTGTGTGTATCAGCGGGTGTTGTGCGACAAGAAAAAAACTGTCTTTAGGATAGCTTGAGGCATGGCTCTTTTTTTTCCTTATTTAATATTGGTTATTTTTTTTTCTCTCCCCTTTTTGGTTCTATTTTCTTGTAACAGCACCATTATTATGCGGTTATACGCGATACACATATGAAATAGATGAGAAACTTGAAAGAAATAAAAGATGCTAGCTCTTGGATATCAATATGACGTGCTGATCTCGGCCCTAACACGACTGATGAAACTGCTGCGCTTCACTTCAATAATATCTGTCTTTTTTAATGTTTGCAGTTTACCAAATAAGACGAAACCTGTGCCACAACAAATTCAAGAAAGAAGAACAAGAAGAACAGATTCCGAAAATGCTGTCGCAATCCCGGGAATCGGCAGTGGGAAAACGCCACCATTACCAAGATGCAATTTGCACCTGCATGAGCGCGCCGAGCTATTGAACGGGGGGCTGTTTTGAACCCGCTGCTAGACTAGCTCCTTTACTAGAGGTTTTTTTTTTTTTTTTTGGTTGTTGGACGCGCGGGAGGGAATTGGCAGTTTTTCTTCATGGAACCGGTCAGAAGGGAGGGGCTTGCGTAATTGGTGCCGATAGGGGTCGGAGGGACGGGGATTGTTTGGTGCGATGGGGGGGGGGGGGGGGGGGGGGGTTGTGGACTGGGAATTTTTGGAAGGGAAATATCTGGTATTTTTGGGGTTCGTAGGGCTGATGATGGTGATGCTGTGTTACGTACGAGGATACTATACTTGTGAAGGATGTTGCGAGTTGTATCTTCACAAGGTGTGGTTTGTTAAGGCAGCTGGATAGGTAGGATATACTGTTTAGATGACATATCGCCGTGTCTTGTAATGTGCTCTGTACGCCCCCGAGTTATCAGCGTCGCATTACTATTAAACCGGTTTGTACATATGTGTGCCAAGTTGAAAGCTATCAAACGCTGAGAGACCCCCAGCCCAACTCCCTGAAAATCATCCATCGCTTAGTACCAAAAGTCTAGGCTGTATATCACGGACAGCTCAAGAGAAGAAATAATGTACCTATAAAACTCTGCAAATTAGTAGGCAAAGAAAACGCAACGCCAGAACATGTACGGAGAACTGCAAAGCCCGGCAGCCCGGAAAAAAAAAGGCAAAATGGATCCTTTTTCACAAGTCCGCACAAGCAAATCAAATCAATCCACGTCCTCCATCTGGCCGTCGTACCGCAATCCCGAGCCGCTGCCATGCCTCAGATGCCAAATGCCGCGCCTTACATCCTCAAACGAGGCCTGGTCCTCCAAGCCTAGAGCGCGGGCCAACACCTCAAGATCGCTCGAGCCCAGGGCCGCATATTTTGTCCCGTCAACCGGCATCGACAGCATGGCAGGGTTGCCTTGGGTGCTCCACGTCACGTCAGATCCAGAGCACCTGGTGCCGTTGTTCCCGCCTTCTTCGTCATTGCGTTTGCTCTTCTCGAGCATGGCGAAGCGAAGGCCCACTTCAGTAACGGTGACGAGGATGCTCAGGACAATCAGAGCTATGACGATCCATGTGATGTAGCTCATCTTGGCATCGGCGTCCGAGTCGGAGAGAATCTCTGCGAGATCCAAAAACACGCGGCAGCGCTCGTTGAGGACTTTGATACGAAGGTCGATTTCCAGGTACTCGCGGATGGCTTCGTACAATGGATGCAGAGTAGGCTCAGAATCCCAAAAGAAATTAGGCACGTCGAGGATATTTGATGCTATTACGGCATGTTAGCTGAAGTTCTCTGCTCAAAGCAGATGGATGGGTAGGAGGAGAATGCACATACAAAGATTAATATCCACACGGCTCTTGAACAGCCGACCCATGATCTTGACGATTTCCGTCCTCGTCATGCCCAGCTCTCCTGTCAAAGCCAGTGTCTTGGGGACGTGCTGCGCATCAAGCATCGTCTCGCCCATCCTCTCCTCGAAAAAGCACAGCTTGGTACTCTGCGCAATCGCATGGCTAATAGTCAGCTTGATCATATGATCCGATCGGGGCAGCAACGTAATCATGTCGTTGAAGATTCGCGGCCGCTGCACATTGGGACTATATTCGAAATGGAATTCTTCCGTCTCATAATCGCCCTGGTCCAAGGGTCGTGAAAGCAGGTTGACGCCGTCCTCGGCATCGGCAAAAGTGAGATCCGCCAGAATGTCCTTTTCTTGGTGCTCCGTAAAATTCCAAAACACAACCACTCCGTACGAGAAGACGAACATCTCTGCAAAGTTCTTTGCATCAGGCGCGAGGCGGCTCATATGGGAGGCAATGCCGTCGTCGATGGGAGGGTATGAGCCTTGTGGTGACAAAAGACCATCGTCTGGCGGTGAAGAAGGATCGGCAAACGCAGAAGGCCGTCTCTGGCCATTGCTGGAGTCTTCGGAAGCAGAAGTAAAAGCGTCGTGGTCAAAATAACCCTCGTGGTGATCTCGCTGTTCGCTACGCTCGATTTCCAAGTCCAGCACAGTTTTTCCTGTCCCGGGCGTCTTCAGTATTGGTCGACTGCGTACTCTGTAGCCTTCAATCCCGTTCATCAGCGGGAGGGCGTATATGGCATAAAGACAGTCATCGTAGAGCTTGGTCTTGGCCTCGTGTTTCTTCCTCAAAAACTCCGCCGTCTCTTTCGTCTTGAACGCTTGCGCAGTGCAGTATGCCGTCAGCCGACTGACTTTGTCCGTCCTCTGCACTTTGGGTAGCCGTTCTGCATAACTCTTGCCACGGATACCGCCCCTTTTCCGGAGCACATCCAGCTCCTCGTCTCTCAACGGCCGATGGGCCTCATCCTGTAAGCTCAAGTTGATCGCCGCCTCTCCCTCGAATTCCTCGTCTTCTTCATTCTGTTCATCGGTGACGGGCAGCAGCACAAGCTTTTCGCTGATTTTGGTAGTTCGCGAGGGGATCGGCTTGCCGGTGCGAGATGGGATGTTTGGCAGGCCGCCGGCCGTGATGCGTCGATTGCCCGAAGGAAGGCCGCCAGAAGTATGCGGCCTCTGTGTTGGCATCGGCGGCCCTCGAGGCTGGCCCGAAGGAATCTGGGAGTCGTGCTGGAGAATGTTGTCAACCGTCATGAATCGCATCGGCGTCCGCCCAGGGGCACCAGACGAAGTCCCAGGGCGCCGTGGCGATCGTCGCTGGTCCGCCCTCTCTCTTGCATCCGTGACCTGGTTCGACAATGGTCAGTTGATGGCAATTCGCCGCATCAATTGAGCGCTTCCGAGCTCGATGGCGGTCTTGACGTACTAGGACGGAAGGTCTCTGTTGCTTCGCGGACATGATGGACACCGACGCCAACTTGGCTCTGGCGGATACAAAGACGATTTCCTGCCTACTCTATGCAATGAAACGATGCAAGCTGCTGATTCCGTGAGGTGCGAAAGACGCGGAGCCGTCAATTCGATTGCCGTGCAAAGTTGAGCCGCGTCCGAAAATCTGAAGGTTTGACGGTCGCCAGCTTTGCTGCTAGCGGCGATGGTGACCTCATACCTGGTGCAGCCCCAATTTTGCGTGCACTTGTTCAGTGCTTTACCGTTAGATGGAGCTACCCTGGAGCTGGGAGAAATTTACTTGTTTGCTGCTTTTCAGCCTCTAGTAGGCACATCTTACTAAGACGAGAGTTGACAGTTTATCATAGGATGAAATCTTTATTTGAGGGCAGAATTTCTTCTTACTGGTGGATATTTCCTATCTTTGGTTATTGGGGCAGCTGAAGAGATGGTTCGTGGTACGTGACCGGGAAAAGTGGCACCGGCTGGGAGTGGATTGAGAGTCTTTAGGAATCTTGGAGCTACACCTTGTCGGTGTCATGTTGGCCAATAGCACATGAAACACACCGTAAGTTTGGTGAGATCATATGGCACTAGTTTTAGAGTTGAAGGCGTCTCGATTGGCTGCTCAAGGGGGGGTTTGCCGTTATGCTTGTCTATAGCGTCAGACAACATGCATTGAATACCTTTGCGATGCTTCCAGATTGAAGTTGTACCATAGGCTCTTTATCCTTTTTCTGCAGAACATCATGTTGCATTTATTTAACAGGTATTTGAGCAGGTTCGTAGATGTAAAGACACCTAATCGTGTCATTTCTTCTCGTCCAACCCTGTCCGGAACTCAGGAGCATCAACCGAGAAAATCACCTTCTCCACCCCTATTCCAGCATCCGGCCGGGAAGCTTGGACTCTGTCATTAAAATCGCCATATCGGATCCCTACTCCATCGTTTTAGATATATTTGCCTCGTGATTTGCCTGCAGAAGCATGTGCGAATACAGAATGCAAGCAAGCAAAGCAAGCATGGCTTACAGCTACAGCGGTCTTGAGGGCGCTGCGCTGATGAAAACTGGAGACGCCGGGCAGCCTCAGCCAATGACACGGCGCCAAAGCCATCGTTGCTAGGCGGTTGTCCCGGCTGTTTGTTTACATTCGCTGCCCAACGGCAATGCAGCACAGCACAGCTTTAATGCAACACAGACCCCGCGCTGTGGTTATCCCCTGCTCTGCTCTGCTCTGCCGGCGCTTCCAGTTCCAGGTACTGTAGCTGCTGTTAGCACAGGTAAATATTATTGCTCGGGAAAATCAAGAAACGAAACGAAAAACATCCATCTGTGACGGCATCCGCATTGCTGGAGCGGCATCTGGGCTCAAACTCGGACTCACACACACACACCGGCGGCTCCCTTTTGTTGACACTGCACTGGGCCCTCCCCATGCGCATGTCTTAAAAGTCTATTCTTTTCTTTCTTGCCTCGCGCCGGTTGCTCGCATTCCTTTCATCTGAACCTCCAGCCATCGCAGGAAGGATGTCTTGATAGCGCTGCACAGAGTTTTTTTTTCTAATACCCCCCCCAGAACAACACAAGCATAGACGCGATATAGGCGCTTACTATAGCCTCAGCCCCGACTGGGCGAGACAGCATCCGCCAACATGTCGTCGTATCGAAACAGTCCCCGGCGAGACTCCCACATCGATCTGTCTGCCGCCAACTCCAGCATCAATCGCAACAACTCAACAACGTCATCGGCATCCTCCGGCTACTCCTACTCCTCTGAACACAGCGCCCATAGCCAGTCCACGTCCGCGAGTAGCATTTACGGATCGGTTGGCCACAAGCGCGGCCAGAGCGATGTCATGTCCAGAGCACGACTCTTCGAGGCCGGCGACACGAGCGGCGCCAGTTCTAGCAGAGGCCAGGATAACATATATGGCTCAGTCCGGCAATCGCTTCGCCCGCTGCCGCGAACCCCAACGGCCTCTTCCATCGGAGCCCCAGCGGCACCACCTCATGGCTCTAAGGCGCCGCGTGAGAGAGGCCAGAGCATAGACATTGGCCGATTGTCACTGTCCCAGAACGATGGCGTCGTCGCCTCGCCCACAGTGCCCTCGCGACCTCTGCCAGCACGGCCAACCTCCATGTACATGTCTCGAGCCGAGCCTGCGATTCCGGAAGATGCAGTCATGGCGCCGACGCACCATGGCCATTCTCACTCCCACAGCGCTCATATAGCCCGCCCTGATCTTGAGCGGCTGGGTCGATCTTCCACAAGCCAACTCCGGACGCTCTCCCAGCTTGCAAAGTCCGAGGACGCCGAGGACTTCAAAATCAACTCGCCTACGCAAGAGGTGGCTGGGCTTCGAGGCCGCCGTAGGCTGCAGCGTACCGATAAGACAGCTGGCCGCTCCAAGACAAACTATACATGGGAAGGGCGCAATTGGATGGACAAGCAGCGCAGGTTCCTCCAGGCCTACGAATACCTTTGTCACATTGGTGAGGCCAAGGAGTGGATCGAAGATGTCATCCAGCAGACTCTCCCACCCATTGTTGAGCTGGAGGAGGCATTGCGAGATGGCGTTAGGCTGGCAGAAGTGGTGGAATCCCTAAACCCCGAGAGACGTTTTCGGATATTTAGAAACCCAAAGCTGCAGTTTCGACACTCTGACAACATTGCCATTTTCTTTCGATACCTGGACGAAGTGGAGCTGCCCGACCTCTTCCGTTTTGAGCTTATAGATCTCTACGAGAAGAAGAATATTCCCAAGGTCATCTACTGTATTCACGCTCTGAGTTGGCTTCTCTTTCGCAAAGGAATTGTTGATTTCCGCATCGGCAACCTTATCGGCCAGCTGGAATTCGAGCATCATGAATTGGAGGCAATGCAAAAGGGGTTGGACATGCTCGGTGTTAACATGCCTAGCTTTGGCAACATGGGCGCTGATTTTGGCGTTCCCGAGCCCGAGCCCGAGCCCGAGCCCGAGCCTGAAGAAACCGAAGAAGAGAGGATCGAGCGCGAATTGGCAGAGAACGAAGATGTCATCATCGACTTCCAGGCACAGCTTCGTGGCGCGCTGCTCCGACTGAAGCTTGGGGAGATGATGCAAGGCTTCTGGGATGAGGAGCAGTGGCTGATTGACCTGCAATCAAGGATACGAGGCAACTTTACCCGCGAGGTTATGAACTATCGAATGCAGATGAGGCAGTCCGCCATTCTCGTCCAGAGCCTTGTCCGTGGATACCTTGTTCGCAAGGGGCTCAAGAAGAGCGACCAAGCCAGGAAAGCTGCAGAGCCTGCTATTTTGGCCTTCCAGAGCATGCTTCGAGCGCAAAAGGCACGTAACGAGATGCAAGGCCTCAAGTCTACACTGTCTCGTTGTGATGCCCCGATTAGGGCAATTCAAGCCATGTCAAAGGGCTTTCTGCTCCGCAAATCTCAAAATGTGCAGCAGCAGGAGACGAAGGCGGCCGCCGGGGAAGTCCAAAATCTTCAGGCGCTTGCCAGGGGAATGCTGGCGCGGCACAGAATCAGCAAGGACGTGCAGGAGACGAAGAAGGCCGCCAACGAAGTCCAAAAACTTCAGGCGCTTGCCAGGGGAATGCTGACGCGGCACAAAATCAGCAAAGACGTTCAGGAGACGAAGAAGGCCGCCAAAGAAATCCAAAACCTCCAGGCGCTTGCCAGGGGAATGCTGACGCGATACAAAATCAGCAAAGAACTGCGCGAGCTTGAAGAGCACACCCCAATGGTTGCCAGCCTGCAGGCCGCCGTCAGGGCTGCACTGGTTCGTGCAAGAATCGAACAGCAACAACAAGATCTCCACTCCTTCACAGACGTATTCACCTCCTTACAAAGTGCGATCCGCGGCCGCGCCGCCCGAGATGAACAAGAGGTTCTCAAGGCCGAGCTGGCTCAACATGTACCTGCTATTGGACAACTTCAGGCTGCAATGCGAGCTGCCGCCGTGAGGAGGGAAATTACAACTCGCCTCGATGACTTGAAAGAGAACGAACCTGCCATTATTGAACTCCAAGCACATATCAGGGCCATGTTTGAGAGGCAAAAGGTGTTGGCAATTCAAGACCAACTTGATGCTGAAGAGCCGGCAATCATCGACCTGCAAAGCCACATCCGAGGTTTCCTGTGCCGTCAGTATCACTATGACTTGTTAGATGAACTGTCATCCCATGACGCAGAGACCGCCGAGTTCCAAGCCATCCTCAAGGCCATGATGGAGCGAGCGAGAATTGACGACCTACTCACGGAGCTCCTCGAGGAAGAAGATTCCATCGTCATCTTCCAAGCAGCCGCCAAGGCTTTCCTCATTCGACTTCGCTTCGAGGAGAAGAAGCGATTTTACGAGGAGAATATGAGAAAGGTCATCAAGATCCAGAGTTTTGTGCGTGCCAAAGTGCAAGGCGAGGCGTACAAGAGCCTCACTACGGGCAAAAACCCGCCCGTCAGCGCTGTCAAGAACTTTGTGCACCTGCTCAACGATAGCGACTTTGACTTCAATGAAGAAGTCGAGTTTGAGCGGATGCGGAAGACGGTGGTCCAGCACGTGCGGCAGAACGAGATGTTGGAGCAATACATCGATCAACTGGATATCAAGATTGCTCTCCTGGTCAAAAACAAGATTACTCTGGATGAAGTCGTGAAACATCAGCACACTTTTGGCGGAACCTCGATGGGTCTGCTGGCCAACTCTACGATCGCGTCAACCAACCAGTTTGATCTCAAAGCGCTCAACAAAAGCTCCCGAAAGAAGCTGGAGTCTTACCAGCAGCTGTTTTTCAGTCTCCAGACGCAGCCCCATTATCTTGCCCGCCTGTTCAAACACATCCGCGTGCAGGTGACGGCCGAAAAGGACAGCAGGCGCATTGAGCTTCTTATGATGAGTCTCTTTGGTTACGCCCAGAAGCGACGAGAGGAGTACTACCTTTTGAAGCTGATTGCCCGATCAATACGGGAGGAGGTTGAAAGCTCAGCAAGCGCGCTGGAGTACTCTCGAGGCCATTACTTTTGGACCAAGCTGCTTGCTAACTACACACGGTCCCCGCGGGATCGCAAGTATCTCCGGTCCCTCTTGGGGCCCTTGATTCGCGATAACATCATTGAAGACCCGGCACTCGATCTGGAGAGTGACCCTATGCAAATCTACCGATCTGCCATCAACAATGAGGAGCTGCGGACAGGAAGGCCCGATCACCGGCCTCTGGATGTCCCCCGCGAAGTTGCCATCCGCGATCCGGAGACACGACGCCTCTTCATCGACCACTTGCGAGACTTGAGAGAGATTTGCGACCAGCTGTTCTCGTCTTTGGAAGAACAAGTGCATAAAATGCCCTATGGTCTCCGGTTCGTCTGCAGCGAAATGTTCCAGGCCCTGCGCCAGCACTTCACGCGTGAGCCGCCAGAAAACTTGCTGCAAATGGTGTCCCATTGGCTGTGGAAGTTCTACCTCCAACCTGCCGTCACCATGCCCGAAAACGTGGGCGTCATTGACAAGTCGCTCAGCCCACTTCAGAAGAGGAACCTGGGCGAGGTTGCCAAAGTAATTGGGCAAATCGCTCTGGGCCGGCCATTTGGCGGCGAGAACATCTATCTCCAGCCCCTGAATGCCTTCATCGGCGAATCCATGGAGCGCCTGCAGCAGATCACCAACGACCTCATCAACGTGCCGGATGCCGAGAGAACGTTTGACATTGACGAGTTCAACGACCTGTACGCGAAAAACAAACCTACCTTGTACGTCAAGATGTCGGATGTCTTTGCCATTCACAATCTGGTGGCGCAAGAGCTCATGGTCATGGCTCCAACCCGGGATGACGTCCTGCGCGAAATCATGCAAGATCTGGGTAGCGCCAAGAGCAACGAGAGTGAAATGAGTGCGGCAGGATCGGCGGATATTCAGATGTTCCTGACCCCCAGGCTTCACGACCTTGAGGACCCCGAGGCGGATGTCAAGGCTTTGTTTATGGAAACAAAGCGGTGCGTTTTGTACATTATTCGAGTGCAAACCGGAGCCAATCTGCTGGAAATCTTGGTAAAGCCGATCACGGTTGAAGATGAGGAAAAATGGGAAGCACTTCTCCGAGAGGATTTTGCGGATAGTAACTCGCGAGGGGCGTATTCAGACACTAAGATGGCTGACATCACCTCCATGTCCTACTACGATCTCAAGCGAACGGCTTTGGAAAACATTATGCAACTGGAGCAGATGGGGAGGATTTCAAAACAGAACCAGTACCAAGACGTGCTCAACGCCATTGCCAGCGATATCCGGACCCAGAGCCGCAGGCGTGTTCAGAGACAGCGAGAATTGGACGGCGTGCGCCTGACGCTGGCTAACTTGAACGAAAAGGCCAAATACCTGGAGCAGCAGCGCAAAAGCTACGACGATTACATTGAGCAGTCAATGAAGACACTTCAGAATAAAAAGGGGTAAGTACATCTTTTTTTACGCAGTGTGTGTTGTTAAGGCATTGAGAAGCTAACGGTGAGATGCAAAACAGACGAAAGAGGTTCCTCATGCCCTTCACCAAGCAGTATAATCATCAGCGAGAGCTTGAACGTAGTGGCCGGGTGCCAAAGTTTGGAAGCTACAAGTACAGCGCGCGGGCACTGTCGGAAAAGGGCGTTTTGGTGTCATGGAGCGGAACGGCCGACCGCGAATGGGACAAGATTGACATCACAATCTCGTGCGACCAGGTCGGCGTGTTTGCCATAGAGGGCACGCGAAGCCATATCCAGATGCCCGGAGCAACAGCTCAAGTACCGATCGAGGACATGCTTCAGGCACAGTTTGAAGCGCACCAGTTCATGACGCTGTTTGAGGGCACCCTCAAGCTCAACGTGAACCTGTTACTGCATCTTATTTACAGGAAGTTTTACCGTACACAGTGATGGAACAACACCTGATGAATGGGGTTGGGCCGCTGATGGTGTGGTCATCTTCCAAAGAACGTTGGAGCGAGGCGAAACTGAATATGCACGGTGTTTGACGGAGTTGGGATTTTACTTTTTTTTTTTTTCTGAAAGACTGGCTGGGCGGGATTCAATATATCCAGGGAAACTAACCACCTAAACTATACATGACTGAATATGCGCATGCAGCTTATGGACATGGGAAATGATGAGGAGGGGAGGCAAAAAGGGGAGAAGGGCGGGCAGGCAGGGTGAGAGTATGATAATCGTCATCATCATTGTCATCGGTTACATATAGTAGATTCTTCTGCTGTAGGATACTTTTTTCTTCTTCTTGTATTTTGCTTTGCTCTGATGACGATGAGTCTTGGATGGGGGAGGGGAGTGACTCTTTGGGTTGAATATAAGAAGTGATGAGTAATTTTACGTGCTTGATGTGTATATCGGTGTATATGTGATGTCAAGTGAAATCAATGGCGCGTAAGATGATTATTGGAAAAAACAGAGATCGGATCGTGATCATCTGGTATATGCCTGCCCAAAAGTAATATCGTGAGCTGACAGAGTAAATGTTGTGGTGCCTAAGCTTTTACATGTATCGGATAGACTCATAAGTTTATGTATCATCAGTTGAGTCGAATCAAGACTCTATGATAGTCGTGTAGGTCTTTGTCCCGATCATGCCGCACTCGAGTCAGAGTTGGCGGTGAGTTTTCTCATAGTTTTGACCGAAACAGCTGACTTTTGACGCTCATCTCTCATTATTCTCGAGTCTGAGAGGCGGTTAATCAAAGAGTCTTGAGGGCGTCGTCAGCGGCATGAAACGCCTCTCAGCCGGTGCATTGTGATCGACAGATGGCTAGATCACTATAGCACGGATTTCAGGGTCCTTTTTTTGCTTCTAAGAGAAATACGAAAGGTGTGCTTTTGTCAGCTTCCATTGCCACAAGCTTAGTTTCCTGTCTTTCCCCCCACATGCAGCAAAGCAATTAGCCTATACAGTCCTCGGGCAGCCAAGATTATACGGTGCTTGTGTATTGGTAACGCAGCAGCATCCGCTTCGCACGCCTACAGAGGTCTGGATCACGCAATCGGTGGGAATATGAAGGCAAAAGGTGGGAAGCGGATCATTTTTGAAAGACCCGTGGGGGAAGGGCGGGATTGACCAACCAGAGGATGGGCGATGCCGAATTGAGTAGTTTCTTCCAAGGGTCCTGAGGGGGAAAATAAATAGTAATGAGGAAAATCACTTGGATACGGAGCAGTAAGTAAGTGCGGATCCAGGTATAAAGTACGCTGGGCTGGTGAGAATGGAATTATCTGGCGCTTGCGCAGGGGAGATTGGGCTTGAATGCTGCTGGTGCGTCCATGTGACCCCCGAAAATGGGCTCGGCAAATATTTAGTAGGACCAGCGATAAGCGTTTTTGTTGTTGTTGGGACTTTTCGGGTCGTCGCTTATTATCGCGTTGAGGCTACACAAAAAGAAGAGAGGGAAAATGAGACTTGACGACGACAGGGTTGCAACCCACGATAATGCTGTGCCAACCACTCGAGTTTTTATTTTTTGGCTTGTCTGTGTCAAGTCGGCCCTCGCACCACATCGGACGGAGCAGCTGGAATGGGAACAATGGCCACAAAAGTCTGTTTGCCTGATTAGCCGCTGCTGCAACGCAACAAGTCTTGTCTGACGGATCTAATTTTATGCACCAAGGTGAGGTGAGGTTGGGATGCGTACAGTGTCGGGAGAAGCTGGGAATGAGAAACTAGAACTAGTCGCTTCCATCTCGCATGCAGTCTCTTGCGTGCTCGCGTGATGATGCCATTCAACGCCGGAAGTCGGGGGGCTCTTTGTTCTTCTCCACATGGGCCAAGGGACTCATATAAGGATGGGCTGGATGCGAGGACGCACACGCCAGGCTTGGTTTGTGAACAGATTTCTTTCTTGTCATCTACTCGTCCTTCTCTTCAAAAGAGTAGTGCGTCGTGTGCCTGGTTTATATAATACTTTTAAGTGAACAATCTGATATCACGTCTCACATCTTCCTTAGTTACGTACTCTGCCGTCTTGGTGCCACTCCATCCCGTGTCTCAGACCTTTGGAAATACGAGTACTAGCACGATAAGACTCAGACAAAAGGCTTATTATTGTGTTTTTTTATTTTCATCCTGACGGCGTACCTTTATTCTACACTACGGTGAGAAGAAAAAAAAAAGATATTCTATTTGGTGCCGTCAAAAACTACAACCGCCATGGCTCCCGATCTCAACACGCTGCCGCGCTCAGAGGCGCCTCAGCCCACTGCCCACCCGGAGCAGAAGCCAAACATTCTCTACATCATGGCCGACCAGCTGGCGGCTCCTCAGCTCAAAATGTACAATCCCGATTCTCAGATCAAGACGCCCAACCTGGACCGTCTGGCGGCTTCGTCCGTCCAGTTCGACTCTGCCTACTGCCCTTCACCGCTCTGTGCGCCCTCGAGAATGAGCATGATCTCTGGCCTCTTGCCCATGAAGATTGGCTCCTACGACAATGCCTCTCAGATCAACTCCGAGGTGCCCACATATGCGCACTATCTGCGCTCAAAGGGCTACCACACCGCGCTGGCGGGCAAGATGCACTTTGTGGGCGATCAGTTGCACGGCTATGAGCATCGTCTCACAAGTGACATTTATCCGGGTGACTTTGGCTGGGTTGTGAACTGGGATGAACCGGATACTCGTCTCGAGTGGTATCACAACGCCAGCTCGATTCTCCAGGCCGGTGTTTGTGGACGGAGCAACCAGTTGGATTACGATGAGGAGGTCATGTATCGCAGCACTCAGTATCTCTGGGATCATGTTCGCGAGGGACCTGAGAAGCGCCCTTTTGCCCTGACGGTTTCTCTCACTCACCCCCATGACCCTTATACCATTACGAAGAAGTACTGGAACCTGTACGAGGATGTGGACATCGAATTGCCCAAGGTTCGCATCGCCAAGGAGAAGCAGGACACTCACAGCAAGCGTCTTCTGAAGGTGTGTGATCTGTGGGATCTGGAATTTTCAGACGAGCAGATCAAGAGAGCCAAGAGAGCGTACTACGGCTCCGTGAGCTATGTCGACGACTGCGTCGGCAAGCTGCTCGAGACGCTCGAAGACGCCGGCTTGATGGACAACACCATTGTCATCTTCAGCGGCGACCACGGCGACATGCTGGGCGAGCGCAACCTCTGGTACAAGATGAGCTACTTTGAGTCTTCTGTGCGAGTCCCCATGCTGGTTCACTATCCCAAGTGGTTCACGCCTCGCCGCGTGCCGCAAAACGTCTCGACGCTGGATCTGCTGCCCACGATCTGCGACATCATCGGCACCAAGCCTGCGCCCTTCTTGCCCATGGACGGCGTAAGCATGATGCCTCATTTGTTGGGCAAGGAGGGAGGCGGCGACACGGTCTTTGCCGAGTACACGGGCGAGGGAACTGTTCGCCCCATGATGATGATTCGACGAGGGGATTGGAAGTACATTACTTGTCCGGCTGACGAGCCGCAGCTGTTCAACCTCAAGACGGACCCCTTGGAGCTGGACAACTTGGCGCGCTTCGCTACTGGCAAGATTGAGCCGCAGACGGAGGCTGAGAAGGAGACCAAGGCTGTGTTTGACAACTTCGAGGCCGAGGCAAAGGCCAAGTGGGACTTTGATGCCATTACGGAAAAGGTGCTGCAGTCTCAGCGAAGCAGACGCTTGGTGTGGGATGCGTTGAGCAAGGGGGCGTTTACAAGCTGGGATCACGACCCGGTGGACGATGGCAGACAAAAGTGAGTTGTTTCGATCGATATTTGTTACGTTTCGATGTATAGATTTGCTAATCATCGTCCCTTTAGGTACATCCGATCAAATATTCCGCTGGATGACTTGGAGAGGCGTGCGAGATATCCGTTTGTGGACTCGCAAGGTTACGAGATTTCAAAGACGGTCAACTCGACTCGAAGCTAAGCGGGAGGCTTTCTTTCTTTTTCTTTCTTTTTTTACCGCATGCTGCTTGCTATCCTGGACATCAGATTGACTTCCGAGGGATTGATTTCTTTCTTCATTTTACATTGGCGGGAGCATACATAGCGAAGGGACTCTTGTTGGCTTGACGGACATTGTCTGGAGTAGCAAATTTTGGATTAGCATTGTATTTGGAAACTGAATTGAAATATATCGTGAATCAAGAAATAAACTAGAAATATTAAAATATGATATCTATACCTTATAAGAATGCTGTTTGTTAATACCAACTACCTGTTATATATATAGTAGGTACTAGGTACTAAGTTTCCCTGCAAAGCTTCATTAGTGGCTGCCCCCCACTTGGTCACCACCACGGCAGGCAACATGCTTAGCGCCTGCCCCACGAGAGCGTGTCTGTACTCCGTACCTGCACTTGGATCATAAATTCAAACTCAACGTCACTGCTAAAAGTAAACTTGCTCTCCCTCATGCTGCAATTCTACCTCTCTTCACATTGTGCCACGTATACAATTCTTACAATCACGTCTTACTTGATTCCTCATCTCCAACCCGCACCCTCTCGGCAACTACAACCAGCAAGAGCGCAGAGAAACAGACAAATCACTTCAGCTACAAAAACCAACAGGCGCATACGATGGCGACGCTGGGCTTGGACGACGACGAGCTCAAGTCAGTTGAGCAGACACTGGCTCGGCTGGCGCAGCTCTCAAGCAGCATACAAAGCTTAAAGATGGACATTCTCAAGAGCAACCCGCTTCCTCACCCGTATGCTTGGCCCCCCTCGCTGCGCAATACCTGGCAGCTCTAATCTTTTCGCTCTGGTGCAGCTCCTCATTACAAGCCTCGGCCCAGATCCTCCAGCGCAACCTCCAGACGGTATTGGACAACCTGAGCGAAAACACAGAACTCTTCTCGCGCATCGCCGTGCATCCATCGACAAACTATCCCGGACGAACACAAGAAAATGTCTTGACGCAGCTGCTGCGGAAGAAGCTGGAGCCGGATGTGGAGGAGCTCGTTTCGCAGGGACGCGAGACGGCGCGCCTAGCTACACCTGAGGGCATTGCCGAGCTACAGAGCATATGGGACGAGTTGCGGGAATGGACACATGACAGGATTGCCAAATATGTCAGAGAAGAGGCCGGCGATGTCTACACAAAAGAAGAAAGGGAGACGGGCGTCGATAAGGTGCGCACGGGACTGAGGAAAGGTCTGGATGAAGAAAGCGACGAAGAAGACGACGAAGACGAAGACGACGACGAGGACAATGATGACGCCATGGACGCGACGAATGATCAAGCGAAATCGGCGGCGGTGGGTAGGGGACCGGAGCCGGAAACTTTGCTTTGGTTTGCGGCGCGAGGGGATTTCGACGTTCCGCGGAATGTTGAATACGAGAGGAAATCCGGGGGAAAGAGGGGATATGAAGGAGTGAATGTACCGCCAGGCTCTATGTCGTCTTAGGATGACGACCTTGAGGACTTTCTTCGCGATGAGTGCTGACAGCCCTGCTTCTTTGGCATGGCCATACGAGGAATCAAATGCTCACCCATCAATACTGGAGACTATATAAGTCATCTTGCGATGGCAATCATGGCGACGGCGATCGGGTATCGGTATCCAATTTGTATGTGTCTTTTTTCTTTCCCTTTTTCCATTAGCGCGAGCGGTTGTTGGAGTTCCACGGACATGGCCATGTTATAGCGGCCGGTCCCTGGATTAGATGTCATCAAAGGTGTTCAAGCACAGGGATAAGGCTTGCAGAATGCCAGCTACGAAGCACGGCATTGGCCCTATGAGGCCAAGGCGGCAACAGTCACGCTGCCCCGGAATTATCAATACGTTTTATTTCCTTTCATTTTGAGCCCATGACGTACCGAGATCAACCGAGGCGATCGAAGCGAGCAAATATCAGATGACATTGCAGGGTTGGATTCGTCCTCGGGTTGGAGCGATAAGGTGGACGATCAATCAGAGTGCGCATTGGGATGCAAGGTAGCCCGAAAATGGTCGGATGTGACAGCTTCGGGCCAGCTGAGGAGCTGCATGTGTAATTGTGACGTTCCCCGCAGACTTTAAACTTCCCCTCCATCCCGAGGCGAACTGATCCTCTAGTGCTCTTCTCATTTCTGATTTCTTGAACCTTCTGTGCCATGAGCTCATTGCTGAGAGCGGAATCCCACTTGTCAAAGCTCTGAATGTCAATTACTTCTAACGTCCTCACCAATAGGCCCAGCAGTAAGCCGCCACAGCTCCGGCTAGTGACAAGATATAAGATCAGCCAGCTGACCGTCCACCTAGTGCTCACACTGCTGCCATGCTGTATAACACATATTGGTATGTTGTTTATTTCCCCCTCATCCTTCAGTCTTACTCCCCATTGTCTATGGGGTGGGAGGAGGCTTCTTAAGTAAGACCGATAAAGGCCTTGTCCTCGGAAAGACGGAGAGAGGGCTGCAAAGAGGACGAGACGAGAAATTTACTTAAATTCCCTTCATGCCATTTCCCCTCTCTCCATCGCCATGACTTTCAATTCATACAACGGACTGCAATTTTCTATGGATATAAACGTGCAGGATACTCATGCGATTCATCTAGTCATGGCGGGGGCGGAGTATGAGTACTGTCCATTCATGTTTTGGTACCCGCCTGCGGTGTGCTATTACAAGCGGTTTGGGCCTGGAATTGATGAAGACGACACTAATGCAGCCGTGGCAACAGACGGGAATGATATCCAGCCACATGTCGATGATGAGAGAAACGACTCAAATGCCGCCAACGGGGCAAACACGTCGCGCTTTTTGTCTCTGCCGGCGGAGGTGCGGCTGAGGATCTACTACTGGGCTTACAGGATGAGTCCGATCCAGCCCAAGGAGCTGGCGGCGGGATATCCGATCCCGATGCTGTGTCGCTACGTGCTACATCCACTTGACCCCCATCTCGAACAACAGATAGAGCTGGAGATTGAAAACGAGCAGACCATTATAGACCTCGCGAAAGAGTCCACGTGCTCAGACAGCAGCGCGCCAAAGGAAGGCAGTGAGCAGAAGGAAGGTGGCGCGCAGAAGTGGGAAAAGTTGAGGGCGGAGCAGGACAAGAAGAAGCTCATCAAGGACAGGCTAAAAGAGAGGATGCGGGAACTCAACATGGCAACTCCGGGCCTGCTCAGCTCGGACCGGCCGCTGGCGGGGATGCCGGCGAGCCTGCTCTGTACCTGCCGGCAGATCTACTTTGAGGCGCGAGAGATTCCGTTTGCCAACAACGAATTCGTCTTCCTCAACTGGTTCTCCTCGGGGCTCAACGCGGCAGCGGCCGTGACCAAGTCGCAGCGGCCGTGGCAGCGCCTGGCCATGCGGTACGCCCGGCTGGAGATGATGGCCGAGGATCTGGCTCGGAAGGCGGCCCTGAGCAAGTGGGCGGAGCTGTGCGGCCCCGGACCGTCTGCATCGTGGACTCGGGGCCTCCGGGGCCTACGGGTGAAAATTGTGGGCCAGGTCGGCAGGAGGAGCGAGGAGGCAAAGGACGACGATGAGTTTGTGGACGGGCTGGAGGAGGTGGGCGGTGCTAAGAGGTGGGTGGAACAAGGGCGGCTGGCGGAAATGGAGAATCTGGAGAGGTTGGAGATTGAGATTATCAAGAACTCGTGGGGGACTGTGGAAAAGATGGCGTGGTGTGCGGCTGTTGAAGAGGCGTTGAGGGAGAAGGGGTCCAAGGCGATGGTTGTGAGCATGGGCAGGATCCTGTGATGCAATGGTTTTGGTTTTCCTATATAAAGGCATTCGTATTTCTCATACCGGTATGGTATGGATGTGTGGAGGGGAGGTTAACTGGCGTTTCGGTCTATTTCATTCTTAATAACATCAATCTTTGTGATCCATCTGTATGTCTGTGTAAAGGCGTCTTGGTTCGGGTTCGGCCTCGGCCTCGGTTTCACTAAGGCTGCAGAGTGTCGTATAGCCTTGTTTTTTTTTGGTATCCAAAGGATTGGAAATACGCTCCATCAGGTGCCCGCTGAATTCATGCATCGTGCCAATGGACTAGCACCGGATATTGTGATCCATGGATTCTTTATTCGGACCGCCGAGGCATGAGCGGACTTTAGCCCCCGAGTGGCTGACGAACTTGTTTATTGCGCCACTTGGTGGTGCGAGTACACTACAGTATACGAAAGTAAAGTAGCATGAAACTATTTGTTACATGCCTCTTGTTTAACGTTGTTTAATTGTTACATGCCTTTTTGTTCAAAGTTGTTTAATTGTTACATCGGATAACGTAAGGGTTGGCTAGTGGTGTATACCCCAAGTCCGCGGAGAGAAAGAGCGGACCGGTTATCGGAGGAATATGGGAGGGAAACGGGGTTATTTGTTTACGAATTGCTTTGAAGGGAATGATGGCTACAGTATGTATTTGGTCGAAGGGACAACGGGTTTAGCATTTGCGGTGTGGTTGAGTGCAAGTTTGTTGAAGCCATGGCTTGCCGTGAGTAGCCGCTTACAAGCTGTGCTGGGAACTGAACGGTTAGGAAAAGATGAGAAACGGACGGGGGACAGGTGAATAGCGGAGATTGCAAATCAGCCTTATCACTCATTAATAATAGTTACGATTAATGTATTTCCAATGCGAAAAGAAAGAAAGAAAGGACAGGACAGGATGGAGCTGAAGTAGTTGAGAGGCCGTATTCATTGTCCTCCCCCACCTTCGTGGAGGAGCTCTTTAGAAAACGCGCTGTTTTTTTTTAAAAGTGGCTTTCGAGGTCGGGTTCGGGTTGCAAGGATGAGTCACTCGCCTCGGCTTAAACAACAAGAGAGAACAAAAGAAGGTGTGCACTATAATCGTATCTGTCGTATCAGGACGATGGAAGACGAAACAACAAGGGCAGATTGGTAAGAATGGAAACGATCAGATGGCTTATATAGGCGAATAAGCGTATTTGCATTTGCCGAGATGCGGTTGCGGGCCCCCCGTTTCGACAGCCTCTAGCTCCGGCCGGATAAGGAAGCAAAAGGCGAATTGAAATGTCCGATGGCTTTTGTTTGGCGGCTCGTTCGATTAGTGCCTATTCCGTGTCTAGCTGAAAGGTGTCTCTCGTTTTCGAATGCGAGGACCGGCGACATCCTTGCCTGTTTTTGGAGGTGACTCTTTTGAAGTGTGAACTAGTATGCGGATATGTGAAGGGATTACTCCGAGTTGCGTGTGTTTCTTTCTGATGAGTAATTGAAAAGTAGAGGAAATAGATGAAATAAAAATTGAATAGATCGGATTGATTGTTGTAAAATGCGCCTTGCACAAGACTAACGGCCGATCGGCTGGGCTCTTGTTTTTGATTGCCACATATCGCCTTAGCACACCCGATGATGCATAGCCTAATTCTGGGCCACATGCAATTGCGTTCAGACAGCCGACGTCGCTGACGTTTTTTGACTTCTTCAATCATAAAACTACTACGAAGCTTCATTCGATGAGCCTTTCGCCTTAACAAGACGATCGTGTATGTTGAGATTTGAATGGCATAGAGGCTCTTGAATCCATTGGGTTCGTCTTTATAACATCCCAACATCCTACTTATTGGCAATCACTCACAGAAACCGGACAAAAGCTAGAAACCTGAATACTGTCGTCACGGACTTGACACAATCGAACCCATCAGCCTCCTCTATAACAAAACAACAACATAAATCTCTCTGCTTCTTTTCCTTTCCGATTTCTTCGACCATGAACGCGCGGTGTCAGTGCGGCGCAGTGACGTTCAAGACGCCGCTGCCCGAGCCCCTGGCGCTGTATATATGCCATTGCTCCGAGTGCAGGAAACAGACGGGCTCGGCGTTTGGCACCTCGGCCATATTTCCGCATTTCAGGCTCCCCGAGACGGAAGATTTGAGCTGCTACGCGTATGTTTTGTTTTGTCCCGAGGGAGGAAAAGAGTTGTTTGGTTGGGTGACGGTTGAGGACGGAATTGGATGGAGGTTTCTGATGCTAACTGGGGGCTTTATCGAGTTTAGGCGACCGACGGCATCAGGACAGACGCTCTACTGGTACGAGATTGATCCCATGACTTAATAATTTCGACGACTGACGGGCTTTTCTACAGCTATTTCTGCCGCAGCTGCGGAACACGACTCATCCACATGACACCGGTATGCTTCTCTTCAACCCATCGCCATTCCCGCCTTTCCAAAGCTAACGTCCTCTCTCCGGACACAAGTCAAAAAACGTCCTCTCCGTCAAGGGCGGCTGCATCGAGGGCCTCGATTGGACAAAGGCAATCCACATCTGGACCAAGAGCGCCATGGTGCCCATTCCTGAGGGCTCCGAGGCGCATTCCGAGGCGTCTAGTAGTCCCGAGTTTAGCCAGAGCCAGGAGCTCTTGGATTGAGCATCTACTGGATTTTGCACTCTTTTTCTTTTTCTTTTCCTTTTTCTTTATTTTTCTTTCCCATCTTTTGACGGATTTGCTTGGAGAGGGAGAGACGGATATGGATATGGACTTTTTATGGTGAGAACTGGATGATGCTATGCTGACGGTGATGTAATGTGGCGTCGCAATGTTCTTTTGTTCTTTTGTTCCTTTTTTTTTTCTTTTAACGATTCAACTCTACCAGAAACGAGGGAATAATTACTTTCCATGGTGGTTCACCAGCATAGAAGTCATTCTTGGGGGCTGAGGGAGATTTGCTGGGGCGCGGGATGAGCGCATTCGCATAGAGCGAACATATACATACAACGCACACAAATATATACCAATGGAGTTTTTGATTTAAACATCTCATTCATCATAATAGAAAGTTAGTTAGCCGACGGCGATGAGAGGGGTGATGGCGAGGTAGTAGTCATCTAGTACATGAATGGCTGGCATTTCATATGAATCGTTGAAATATATATATGATTATCAATTATCAATCATTGATCAACTCATAATCAAGTGTCTAGATAAAAGTTCATGGTATTTCAGAACATTACTTGATGGCTGACTATATAGACATGGCTGGTGGGAGTCAAGTTTCGCTGCCTCTCGATGGGCGCAAAAAGGATTCTTCTGCCAGCATCGAGAGCGTGTCATTGGAGGTTGGTTTTGAAAAGCCGAATGAAAGATACCAGAGTACCAAAGTAGAGGTACCTGCACTCGCATGGCGCTCCAATTCAAGCTGTTGGCAGGTGCGGAGTACCCTGCTCTTGACAGCTCTTGACAGCTCTTGACGTAACAGTCAAAGGCAGGGAAAGGAAGGAAAGCTCATCGGCACAGGAAATACACAGATCCGGAGAATATTCATATTGATATCCATCCATTGACATCTTCTTCCATCCACGTTCTCCATACTCTGTAATGGATTCACCTTCATTCCGACTCCTTCGCCTATCCAGCACCAGCATGAATCCGATCAATTTGTTTCAAGATTGCTTCCTCATGCGTGCGTATGCGACCATGACGAACTCGGCCTAGATCAACCCGGTCATTTCGCCCATTTCCCACAGACCCTCTCTCGCCTCGACGCAATTCGACAACATCCTCTACCCATGATGTGAATAATCATCACGAAATCAGATCTGATAACCTTAGACGCCGTTTGACGACCCCACTTCCCTTGGGAGCCTCTTCACTCGCTCGCCCTTCGACCCAGCATCGCATGACTTTCAAGACGCTAAGGTTCCCAAACCACCCTCACACCCTTGCGCTTTAATCAACCTGACAACGAAATCACCAGATTCTTCCCACGGGAATCTACAGTCACATCTAGCTCGACCATTGACGAGCTCGAGAAATGTCCGGTCTCGAATTAGACCAGCGGCTTGCCATGGTGTCCTGGCCCAGCCCCACTATCGCGAGCCAGCTCTCAGACAGGAGGCGTCTGAACCATGTCTCAGATCCAGGTCCCTAACCCGGCAGATGCTAGCAATCGCTGCATAGGGTAATGCCCACCGACCGAGACTCCCAGTCTAAACCGCTACCGCCGCGCCGCCGCTGTTTGAGCTCCGTCTTGGGTTCTCAGCAATGGCGTCTTGGCAATGCTCCAAACGTTGCCATGTTTCGAGCATGGCCGGAGAAATGAAGGGGAACTCGTCAACAGGGCGGTTGTTTCTTCCAATGGCCGGGTGCCTTGTGCTGGCTGAGCTGACGACAGCCGGCCCGGTCCTCTCTCTACCGGGCTCTTCCCTTTTCTTCTTTTCCCGGGACTATTCTTCTCGTGTGTTGCATCATCTTCACTTCTCTTCTTCGTCGTTGAACCATCGTCCGCTTGGTTGGTGGCGATTTCTTTCACCCTCACTTTTGGGTTTACAGGCCTGGCGCCGCCTTTTATTCAACCGTTGCCGTTCGCTCTTTAATTTTGCTTCCACCGCTTCGACGTGTTTGACTGCGATTGATTTGGCATCGGTCATTGTTCTATTTCAATATCCAGCTGGCTGACAAAAAAAAATTCGTTGTTTGCTTTTCTTCAGCGGTTTCATCTCATCTCTCTGAGTCGTGAAAACAGCTGTGTTGTAGTCATTCATTCTGGTCTCTTTTTGGTATTCTTTTTCACAAGTTGTTCTTTGGGGTTGAATAATTACCCATTTTGTTTTTTGGTATTTACGATGAGGTCCGCAATCTTTTATGCCCTGCTTGCCTCTTCTGCAGCTCAGGTATGCATTCATCTACAAGAGATTTCTAAATAGTTCAGCAACTCACAACTTTCAGGGTGCCGTTCTGAACCGAGATGCAGATGGCAATCTAGCACGACGTGACGACTTCTTGGATCAACTAGGACAACTCCTCGGTATTGGAAATGGGGGTGCCGCCGTAACTACGATTACCACCACTGTCATCCCCGGAGCTACTCAAGTGGTCGAGAACCCGATCCCAACAGCAGTCACAGATTTGCCCCCAGCTCCTCCTCCAGTCATCCCGGCGACAACGAATCCTGATGGTAATGGAGTGGGTGTCACCGTGATTCCAGCAACGACAAATGCCAACGGCAACGGCGTTGGTGTCACCACGATTCCAATCCCCTCGTCTTTACTGCCGACAACAACGTTTGTTCTGGGTGAGTAACGTCGGTGCTTGGTTTAACGGCGATGGAAATGGAACCCCTGAGACTAACATGTACGATAGAACCTCCGCCAGCTGCATCGCAACCCCCTCCAGCAGCACCTCCTCCTCCTCCCCCGGCAAATACTGCTACGGACGTCCCTCCAGCGGTGACTGTCCCTCCAGCAGCACCCCCGCCACCTCCTCCAGCAAGCTCTGTTTCTGGAGTTCCGCCGGCCGAGACCGTTCCGCCGCCTCCAGCAACAACTGCTCCTGGAGTTCCGCCGGTTGAGACTGTCCCTCCACCTCCGCCTCCGCCGCCTCCAGCGACCACGGCTCCTCCTTCTGCCAGCACTTCACCGGCCGATCTTCCTCCTCCTCCGGCTACGAGCGCTGCTGCTCCACCACCACCACCCCCTCCTCCGCCTCCGCCTGCGGAAAGCTCTACAACAGCTTCACCACCTCCTCCCGCTACCACAGATATGCCTCCGTCTTCGTCTTCGTCGTCTTCTTCTTCTTCTTCTTCTTCCACTACCACGGATACAGCGAATGTGACGCCTTCTCCCATTTTCAGCACGCTGCCCTTGTCAAGCTCGGCAGCAGGCGCTTCCTCGGCAGCTTCGTCAACCTCCGCTGAGGCCTCGAGCACAAGTGAAGCTGCTGCATCATCAGCTACATCGACATCTGCGGCCGCAGCGACGACCTCTCAGGCCTCATCAGCATCGACAAGCGCCTCGTCCACAGATTCTTCGTCATCTGCTGCCTCAACACCTGTTACGGTCTCTAGTTCCGTTATCAAGCCCCCTACGAGCACAACCGTTAGCAAGTCAACGTCAACGACATCATCAGCTACAACTTCAAAGAATTCAACGACTTCAACAAGTGCAGTTGCTTCCGAGACGACAGCCAGCCCCGCGAGCTTATCTGCCCCTGAAACTTCGGCTGCCCCTGCGAGCTCACCTGCTCCCGAGACTTCAGCTACGCCTGTAGCCGCGCCTACTACCGTTGTCCCCGCTGCGCCAGCCAACACTCTCGTCCTCGGAAACCTTGCTACCAACGCTCCCGCGGCAGATGGGCAGCCGGTTCCCCCCGTGTTCCCTATCGCAGCACCGACCGCACCTGCAGCTTTCTCTGCGCCGCCTCCCGATCTTCAGGGATATGAGCTCAGCAGCGCGTTGAACTTGGGTGCTTTGGTGGCCATCCAAACAGTGGGAACACCATCAGTGGCAGCTGCCGCAGCGCCCACGCTGATCATTGGACAGTGAAATCTGGGGGCCTGAAGAAAACAGACGTGTAGAGTAATGAAGTTAATATTGGGTGTGCGACGGAGTTTGGAGAATTTAGAGAGAATATGATATACCATTTGTAGTCACAGTTTGCTTTCAAAATAAATGACATGTATGTTTATATGCAGGTATTACATCATTTGGCTACTGCCTTTGTAAGAGAAAACAAGACATTGGTCTATTCCTTTGATCCGGGGGTATCATGTCTCTCGAAGCCCTTGATGGCTACTTTTCGCGCCTCTAGCAGATTTCTGTAGACGTCTACAGCGTCTCAGCCTCAATTCTTCAACGCCAATTTATTATATCACGACACCTTTTTTTCAGATGCAGCCGCTCTCGCCGCCAGCTTCATCTTCTTCGCCTCTCGCTTGCTGATGGGCTGGACGTCTTCCCCGCCATTTTTGCGCTTCTGATTCTTCCTCTTGCCAGGCTGCTCCGCCGCCGAAGACTGATCGTCAGTCTGGTCACCTTTGACAGCATCCTTCTTGATCACCTGGACGATGTTGATGACCCCCCTAAACCCGTCCCTCTTCATGCCCTCGTTGACGACGACACTCCGCGGTATCGTCCGCAGCCCCTCCATGGCCTGTTCGCTCTGCAGGCCCCATACGTTGAAGAGGTTGACGATGTCGGCGGGGGCTCTCAGGCCAAAGGCGGATTTCGCTTCGCTACTGATGACGATGCCGCGGCCGCGGGTGGCCCTGACGAGGTTGGTGGCGTTGGAGATGAAGTTGGCGCGGCCGCGGGGGTCGGCGGCGAGGGCCTGGCTGTAGCAGATTTCGAAGCGGACGCCCCTGGAGACGGCGGCCATGCAGGGCTTGGGGCGGAAGTAGAAGGGGAAGTGCTGGGCCATGTCGAGGGAGATGAGGGGGATGTCGAGGGTGAGGCAGGCGTTCTGGAAGGCCTTTTCGGTGAGGGGCCGGATGGCGAGGAGGTCGTAGGCGTTGGCGAGGGAGGGGAGGCGGTAGTTTGAGGCTGCTGGGTCGGCGAGGGGGAGGGTGGCGCGGTGGAGGACGTGGGGGAGTTTGTTGTTGTTGTCGTTGTTGTTGGAGTCTGAAGATGAAGATGATGGGAGAGCTGGGAAGGGCGTTGTGGGATTTGCTGGGAAGGGGAGCTCGAGGGTGTGGTTGAGGGCGACGGTTGCGAAGCCGAGAGAGTGGGCGGTTGTGAGAGTTTGGAGGAGGCGGTCGGTGGGCGTGGCCGGGGACCAGGGGATGTTGAGGTCGTAGAGCATGGTGGTTTTGGTGTTGGGTTGAGGTTGTCGCGGCTCTCTTTCAGCTGGGCATCGCGGACTGGAGATGGTGGAGTAGTGAGAGTGCAAGTGTCGGGCTGTTGATGTATCGTTGATGAAGGAGATTTGGGGTTCAATTGATGGTATGTTGAGTTGATGGCGGCTGTGTGAGGCGAGGCGCAAGGGGATGAAGCTGTGGTGTTTTGTACATGAAGATGAAGCTTTCGAATCACACACAGGCTGCAAGAAATTAATTCCTAGCGGACGTTGGTTGTTGGTGGGGTCGGCGGTGTTGAGGCACTGGGGGCGCTAGGCTATATCGAGACCGTCGCTGCAAGTCTCTGGGTTTTCTAGAAAAGACTCGGGAGTTATTGTGTAACTACACAAGGGAGGGTGTAATGGAAAACAGACAAATAAACACAGCTGTTCCAGTGTGTTTCAATCTCTTTGTAACCACAATTGTTCTGGGCTTTCTGCCACAACTTGTACAGATCAAACACTGATGGAGCAACGGGTACCTCCCTCCCCAAAGGTACAGTACGGACTTTAAACAGCTTCTTAGCCTGAAAAAGCAGAACGCCTCCCGTCTCTCTCTCGCTGCGTAAAGCAGAAAGAGGGCAGCATCATCGCCGAACGTTTGCGCCTGCCAAAAACACACACACATAAACGCCCGCCAAGAATTAGCTTGGCGCATACGTACTCCCTCCCTCTTTGCCATTCGCTCTCCGCTTCTTTTCTTCCATTTACACTGCCTCAACTCTCTTCTTCTACATCATCACAACCATCTCATCTCGTTTCTCTTCTCTTCTTCTCTTGGCCCTTTTCATGAGAAAACTTGCATAGTGCAGTGCAACATTAAACATTTAAACCCAACAACAGCCATGGTCTTCTTCTTCTTCGTCTGCGGCCAGCACACATTCCGGTCCGAGGTCAAGGGCTACGAGGGCGTCATCTGCCAGTGCCACAACTGTGGCAACATGTCGGGCCGTGTCATCAAGAGCCGCCCATTCTTCACCTTTTGCTTCGTTGTAAGTCCACCGCGTGATTCCACCCAGATAGCGGCACTTCACAACGCAACCCCATCTTTGGAACCATGTTTCATTACAGGCTCCAATCGCATCAATGGCTGACGCCCAAACGCCATATATAGCCCATCATACCCTTCACCATATCTGGCTTCGTTGAGGTCGTCTGCCACATATGCAACTTCAAACAGCCGCTCAAGAATCGTCCTGACGTCGTCTCCATGTCCAACGGCGGCAATTCCGGAACTGGGCCTTATCCCCCGCCGGCAAATCCAGGATGGGGTCAGCAACAGTACCAGGGTCAGCCTCCGGCAAGGTATAGCTAAGTCGCAGCAGTAACGTTGTTGTTGATAGCCTCTCAAGCGCTCGCGCAGAGTTCTATCATGATCGGCACAAAATGAGACATGTATAAAACTCTCTGTAACTACAGTCACGAAGAGAACCAGGTCGGGACTTGACCGAGCCGTCGCTTCAGGCGCTCAACCACGGTCCCCTCCATCCAGCCAACGGCAACTCAGATTTACTCCTCTTCAGTCCGATGCCATCGCCGCAACTTCATAGACGCCTCCAGCAGCTCATTCTCACAGCCGATGGCGGCAAGAATGCTAATAAGCTCATTCATTACCAGAAGTGTGTCTGGAACTTGGCCGAGACTGCAAACCCATCTGGCCCGCGTCACGGCATACGCATAGCAACCCCCACAGGCAACGAATCGAGCGGGATTCCTGCATGGCACGTAGGCGGCGAAGATCTAAGAGATAATTATAAAGCACTCAAGGAACCGTGTCCAAATATATTCCTACCAACTCGTTACCATATTGCAAAATGATACCCGGCGGACTGCATGATATTTATTCCATATATCTTCAAGGAGCTTTAATTTTGTTGCTCTACTTATGCGATAGTTTGAGGTAGTTTATTACATGATTTTCAATAGGAGTCTACAGACCAACTATTAGTATTAAATTGCCCATGCATGTTGTGGTATATCTTTTACACATCGCTAAAACCAAGGCATCTTATAAATTCTGGCTCTCATCATTTCACTCAAGGGCCCGACGGTACAGATCCACTTCCGCCGCTCATCTTCAAGCTCTCCTCAATGGCTCTCCTCAGCTCTTCATCGTCATCCTCACCTTGGTTTGTCGCCTCGGGTTCTTCTTTGCCTTTTCCTTTAGCCAGCTGCTGTTTCCTAAACTCTTCTTCAGCGAGGCTCTGCTTCTTGACGTATTCCATCACAATCTCTTCCTCCGTCCTCTCATGCTGTGCCCTCTCCATCTCGTCTTTGGATGCCTCGATGGCTCTCCGGAAGTGTTCATCTTCGTCTTCTTCTTGTTCTCTAGGTGGCGAGGTGCGGGGTGGAAGAGTAGGAGCCTTGCGAGATTCTTCAATGGCCCGTTGCAAATCGGCATCCTCGTCGCTGGTCGGAGTCACCACCGAGCCGCTGCTACGAGGTTCGCCGCCATGAGTTGGTACGGCGGTATCCACGGCGTCGAGTTCCAGGGCACCAGATGCCGATGGAGTAGAGAAGTTGCCAACATCTCCCATCATGCTTTCGCGAATGGCCTGCTCAATCAGATCCTGGTATTCTTCGTCCGTAATCTTATACTCCTCATCCGCAAAAATGTCATGATGTTTGCTATCCATAGCCAAGCGGATGGGGTCCGGCAGAGAACCCTGCTGCCGCATGGCTTTGACGCTCTCACGAATAGCCGCTTCAATCATGGCGTCTTCTTCTGCATCTCCACGCGAAGTCTCCAAGACCGAAGCTCGAATAGCCGCCTCGTATTCTGTATCAACAGCGGAGGTTGCGTCTGCATTTCTCGGGGCGGGGGAGGAAGAGCGCCTGTTTCTCCGGCCCGAGTTCTGCCGCTGCGGCGATTGCGAGAGAGCAGCGACTAGTTGGCGTCGTCCTTCTTGAGGAGAAAATCGCCAGGAACTCGATTCGCCTCTGGATCCGACTCGAGAACCATCATCTGGCTCCTGGCTACCTGCACTTTTTTGGTAAAGAGCTCTCAGATCAGCATCGTGCTTCCATCGATAAAGAATATCGGCTTTTTCTCCTTCGGATGCATTCTGCATATCTCGCTCTCCTTGGACAACCCTCGAGGTGATGATGTAATTCTGTACGCTCCTCGATAAAAATTTGTTAAGCTCAGCATAGGCGCCTTGCATCACATATGCTGGGAGACCCCAAAATCCTGATACGTGCCGTTAGTACATCCCAGGGAGATTAGATGAACACGCATATCACTCACCTGCCGCGGGCTTCGCAATGAGCCCTCCGATGCCCTTTCCAACGCCCTTGATCAACCCAGCAGCACCTTGTTTTTGCGCTCCTCTCATTGGCTGCGTTACCAGCCCCGAGATTCCATCAAAAAGGCCAAATCCAAATTCTTTGCCTGCGACTCGTACGCCACTGTTGAAGTCTGTAACCTTTTCAACCGCTCGAACAGTGTCGTCATTGTACAGTCGTGGAATGTTCCTAAACCCTTTTGCGAGACCGAGGCAAAAGTTCATGGGAGACTTGACTCCTGTAGTCACGATGCGCCCAACGTTTTTGGTCGTACCCACTGCAGCCTCCATCGTTGCAGCTGCAGAAAGCGCCCTTCGGCGGGATGACGACCGACTTCCTCCTGGGCTGCCGGCGGTGGGAGATCGCGTTCGACTGACTTCGGTAGGTAATGAGGGTGACTGGACAAGCAGCGATGCAGAGTTCGAGTCGCCTGCAGCATCTGCAATGCTGGCGGTTGTCGGGGTTATCCTACCAGAGGGCCCTTTAGTTGAGTTGGGCCTTGATTCTGGGTCGCTCTCATCACCACTTGCTTGACTGGCCGCGTCGCAGCGTTCCCGAGCTTTCCTAGGGCTTTTGAATATATCTAAAGGCATGTCCACTATAGCCATGCCTATGTCACTAATATCGGTGACTAGAGATGTTGCACCCGCGGTGATTGGGTCAGGAGGCTGATCTTCTGTATTATACTCGTACGGGCGGTATCTGAATGGTCAGTAAACTTCATATAGAAGGTGGCGGACCGAATGTTCATCTTACAGTTTCAGGTCCGAGTATTTGAGGAGACGCCGTTCGACAAGGACGGCGGCAACCAGAGGACTGAGCCGCACCTTTGTCTTCTTCAGGCGCCATGCTGCGGTTCGGCTGGGAGCCACCGAACAGCGAAGAGAATCTATATCGATATGGTTATGAAAGCTTCGGCTTCCGGTTTCCGCACCATTCTCTTCTCGAATCTTGCGGCCAAGTGCTTGAGCTTGATCTTGGGTCTCTTGCCGAAGACAGAATTTGATCGCTTCGGCAAGCTTCTCAGCCGTCAAGGTTTTGTGAGGGATTGGATCGGGTCCAGCCTTAGCCCTCGCAATCATGGCTCCCCAAAATGGCTGGTCACCAAAGAACGGAACCACAATAGTGGGTTTGCCGGCTTTGATGCCAGCCGCAGTCGTTCCAGCGCCGCCGTGATGGACAACACAAGAGACTCTTTCAAAGAGCCAGTCGTGTGGGACGTTTCCGAGCATAAAGACACCATCAGGCAGTCCTACCGCATCAACCCCCAGGCCTCCCCATCCCTTGGAAACCAGAGCGCGCACGCCAGCTAGGTGGATAGCGTCCAATATCAGTCTCGTCATAGCATTTGGGTCGTCCACCACAATGGAACCAAACCCAATATACACCGGAGGAGGCCCAGCCTCTAAAAAGGCAGCAAGATCCGGCTCTGGTGTATATGAAGAGGCAAGATTCAAAAAGTAAAAGCCTGCAACATCGATGTGTGGCCCCCAATCATTTGGCTTCGGGATCAAGGCCGGGGACCTAAGGGCATGTGGTCAGAAAAGCAGGCGATAAACAATTGATTCATCAGTATACATACCAACAATAAGTATAAGAAATCTTGAGTCTGTTGAGAAGCCCTGGGGCCCAGATGAGTGATAGAGGGGGGAGATCCAGCGCATTTTCGCGGAAGCGGTTGATGATATCCCCCAGCCCCTGCCACGTCATCATTTCAACAAGCGTGTAAGTCAAGTAGTTAGTGAGGACATCATCGGCATTTGAAGATTGAATATTGGCCAGTGGATGAGGAAACGCTCGTGTAGGTGACCAAGGCATTCTAGTCAACATGTTAGTCGTGTACCTTGTGTGCAGGACATGAGAGAGGATTCTCACGTAAACATCATGTGTAAGGGAATTCCAAGCTTCTCTGCGACGTGAACGTGAGCAAAACTAGGCGGGTTTGCAATAATTGCGTCAGCCACGAACGGCTCATGGTTCGGGTCTCCAGGCATGCCCGCAGATGGATCCCAAGGCTCGAGTTTCCTATGCGGTTCGGGCGGCGGTCCCAATCCATCTCCTGCCTCAATACAAGATCTCCAGCACCCAAGCATCATCTCCTGGACGCCCCTGCGGCGCTTGCTGATCTCGCCGCTCTTCAAAGCATCTAAGCCGGGCATGAGACCCGGATGCTTTACCATGAAAGCCATGAGTTCGGCAGGGTCCCCCCCTATGCTGAAGAACTCGAGGCCATTCTCCTCGACAAAGGTCTGGAAAGTCGCATGCGTTGCGATGCGGATTCGGTGGCCGTACGTTTCCTTGAGGACTTTTCCTAGGGCAACGAAGGGCTGGACGTCGCCACGCGACCCAACGATTTGGATGACAACATTAAGTCGTGGGGGCGCTTCCTCGCCAGGCTCACCTGTGAGACTGGGTAATGTGTACACTGGCGGTAGTGATGGTTGGGCATCAACTTGGCTGGCGATGCTTGGCGCAAGGAGCTCGGCGAGTCTCTTGTTCTTGGTGTTGATGCTGATGTTGATTCTCCCGTCGCCTAGAATTCCATTGTCAGAAAGAAAGTCCCCCCTCTATCAATTGACAAGAAGGCCAATAACCCCTCGCTCATCGCGGGGCAAGGGAGCGTAGCTGGTGCTCACCTGTTACGGCCGCCCCGGCCTCGAATCCCGTCCGTGAGAACTGGAGCTGGTCATGATGACTTCCATATGCCGGGGGCGCATCGGGAGGCACGTCAAGGGTAGGAAGAACGAAGCCATCCGTCGCCATGGCCTCCGAGGCGGGCGGGGGTCTGGATGAGGGCTGCCGTCTGGCTTTACTCCGCTCGATCTCAGGGGACACCATGGCTGGAAAAAGTCGTCAAGGGAGGATTGGTGCAGTAGTTTTCCTGTTCCTGTCCTGTCCAGAGCTGATGTTCGTGGAGGATGAAATCAGAGAGCCCGAAGAGCGCCTGGTTGAGGGCACAAGCTGGGGGGGGCGAATAAAGTTCACCTGCAGATATACGACAGCATCGTTGAGCGAACCTTTAGGCTTGGCAGTGCAGCGGATTGTCACTGATTGCAAAGACACGCAACGGTAGCACAAGGACAGAGAAGAGCTGCCAACTGGCCGAGACCTTGATTTTCAGAATGTTGGGCGATGACGTGTGGCTTTTTTTATTCGAGAGGCCTCAGCTAGAATTCGCCTGCGATTGATATCATCGAGCACGAGCTGGCACACCCCCTGTTTATTACATAGCAACAATGGATGCGGCCAGGCCCTGCGACGGCGCTGTGTCAGTGCTGTGCCCAGCGAACGCTAGTGGCAGTTGCGCCCACTAACAGGCCAAAAGCTAGCGGCTGTGATTAGCGCCTATAGCAGCCCGGGCGGGCAAAGTAAATCCAAGATACAGCGCGTGATATGGAATCTTGCATTCCAATCTACCTGCATCTAGCAATATGATTGATTAATGGATTTGATGTGAATTGCAGCAGACGCACGTTTGCTTGCGTGCATGATAAGACATCGATGCTTATCTAAGAGAGCCGTTCACTCCTCTGTACTGCAGAGATTGTGTGAATGCCTGCCTCGGTTCTCGCTATGGAGTTACCAAGGCGCAGCAGCTGTCGTAACGCAAGGCACAAGGCACACACAAGCCATGGACTGGTTCTAAATTCGTCGTTTCTCCCATTCCAGCCCAACATCATCAGGGTTCATACATCACAGCCACGCAATGGAGCCCTGAGAATAAGTCCCGACAAAGGTCGCCACTAGTTAGGGAGACAAAGGCCATAGAAATCGTGCCAAAATAGCAGCGTAACAGCCTATGCGCTTGATTGATTCCTATTTGGGCATATTGTAGTCTCCGTCCGCGGAACGGGTACGAGTATCATGCCGCAGCCAGGATGAATATCCAACCTGACAAATCACATAAAACCCAGCAAAGCAAACTCTCTCGTCATTTCAAGAATAGGAAAGGAAAAGGCAATCTTGATAGAAAAAAATCGCATAAGAAATTGGAATAACCGTTTTGCTCATATAATACAAAATATCATGGCCGCTCAGACTCCATGGTGATTAGGGGCCAGGTCATTGTATCCGCCAAATCCATACATCCACTTGTGTATTGAAGCCATTTTTCCCCCTTTGGCATCAAACCTCACATCAGCTAGATTTGGTCTTCATAACCTGCGCCGTTGCCGTCGCGGAACCGTTTCGCCCTTATACCATCCGCCGTTGTCTCTCCCCTCGCTTCACTTCAGTCACCAGATAACGTTGTTTAGCTCGAAAACTTGCGGCTGATCTTGGCAATGACTTGAGTCTGGAGTCAGTATATGCTGCGTCTTTAAACGTTAGAGGGATTGACTCACTATGCAGAGCAACAACGGAGAAGATGAAAACCAGGGACAGGACAAGGACAACAACAGGGTCGACCTTGAGTCCGGGAGATTCGTCGGTGTAGAGTCCTACAAGTGGTTTCTGTTAGCGATACACGCAATTCCCAGCCTGAGCCAACTATATAGCTCCATCTGGGGGTTAACATACTCAGCATGGTGCTGCTGGAGCCGCCGGCGCCAGCGGCCCGTGTGCTGCTTGGCCTGGCATTGGCAAGCTTCTCCTTCTGATCAGCGGCAGCACGTCGACGGATCGCAGTTCGAGGTCCGCCGGGAGGAGTAGGAGAGGAAGGTCGGCTGATGCTGGAACCGCTGGCCGCGGCGGGGCCATTGGCGGGTGAAGAGGGACGAGAAGACTGTCAAAGAAATGCATTTGTTAGCTTAAGCGCTCCATCAATGCTTGCGAATCCAATCTGCGCAAGCCATGGTCATGCAAAGCGCATAACGCATCGGTCTTGTGACGCGATGCCAGCGCCGCAATCGCCGGCGCTGGTGAATCCAAAGCAAGTACAGAATTGGTGGGAGTAAGAGACGCGCATACCATTGTGAAGGAGTGTGTTTTGGATATAACGAGGACAATGACAGAACCGACCGAGAATCACTGCAGGACTCTTGGGACGAATTGACAGAGTATGAAAGAGATGCACTTTAATAGAAGGTTGGAGTTTGGCGCGGCCAGCTGGTTGAAATTGTGGCCCCAGCAAGCAGAGTTAAGGCCACATTCACAGAAATGCAACCAGCGGCGGCTGAACATTTCTCCGTTTACCCCAGAAAACACTTCACCACCACTTTAGCGCGCGCAATCTATCGAATTCCATTCCAGCATTTGGATGTTTGTATTATGGAGACTATAAGGTACAAGTACAGACAATGCACGAGATATAAAGCAGACAGAAGTGCTTGCAGACCAGCTGAAAGCCTAATGAAAAAAAACATGGAAATAGAAATACAACGATATAAAGATAATGCAGACAGCCGTGGCATTCAATCAGCAATAACAAGAAAGAAAGAAAAACGAAGCATCGCCAAGTAGCCAAATAAACCCAACGCAACGCTCCCCTATCAACATACATCCTGAGTATCTCACATTGATTCATTACTAAGGCCATAGAGGCTCGGGGTATTTTTACAATTTGGGGGAGACTATGTATAACGGAGGCCCTCAGCAACCTCCAACCCTCGCTAATCATGTTCGCCTCCATCTCAACAGACTCCGCATCACTCGCTGCCATCCTTCAAACCCTGCTTGCAGGCTCGCTGCGTGGTATGTGTATAGTTCAAAAACAATGCAAGACAGCAAAAAAACACAAAGATGAAGAAGAAGAAAAAGAAAAAGAAGAGAAAACACAAAGGGAATCACAGAAAGAGGGAGAAGAAGAAAAAGAAGAGGGAAGAAGTAAAAAAGAGAAGAGTGAGAGACAGAGTGAGAGAGAGAGAAATGTGCCAGCTTGCCAGAGAAAAATTACAGCACAAACAGCCCAGATATTGCCAACAGTCTGTTTAAACACGCTCGATATAGGAGACGCATCCACAGGAAGCCCACCGCAGGCTCCAATTCCCATTGCCCACGTAGTGAAGATCCGAGAATTGACCACTAATCTATAAGGAAAGAATGACCTGCTCTTATCCCAAGACGATGTTTTCGAGACTCCCCCACCTTTTTGGTTTTGACTTCTTGGAGCGTTTCCGTCTTTCTTGTTTCTTCAAGTCGTTTAGATGCGATTGCGGCGTCAGTTGGAGATCTTTCTGGTCAACTCAAACCCCTAGCCGACTTTCACCCCTTGCTCGGTCTTTTGCGGACTGAGAATAAAAAAGGAAAATTTCCGCAGGCTGAGGAGCTGCGTTCCATAGATCAAGGCTGATTATATAAGATTAGACTGTACATCTACACCCGGAAACGAAGAGATTTCAACCAAACGCCTCCCGCTATGACGGCAATGCTGCAGATCGGGCTGTTGAATTTTTTGCTGAAAAGGGAAGAGAAAAAGAGACTGAAGGAAATTTTTGGTGTGTGGTATCTCAGAGAGTGACATCAAGAACCAGGCTGACGTCGGCGACGTTGGGGCCAGCGAGGTCTTCAAGGACGGGTATAAGGTCAAGCAGCTCGTTGTCGTGCGCGTCGGAAAACCAGCTGCTGATTGGAACAGCGTGCTGGGGGTGGAATATGTAGGAGGTTGGCGAGTTGTCGATGATAATGGTATCTTTCAAGTCTCGCCCAACTTGTGAAAGGTCCTTGACATAGTTTCCTTGGTGGTTATAGCAGCTCTCTCGGAATAGACGATGATGAACAACATTGTGTATATCTAATTGGTCTAGCAGAGGATCGCCATACTGTTCACACACGTAGACGTTAGCACGATCAGTTTCCACGGTCGGGGGGG